TCAGTTGGATTCTCGTCTAGAATGCCTGTATATTGGCAATTGCTTCAGTATGAACTTCAACATATATAGGTAAATACCTATCTAATCACATTTACAAATCATTTTGCTCAATCAACTCACCATAAATACCCATGGCTCGAGGCAAGGCGTCTAGAAAGAATGTCGCAAAACATGAAATTGCTAATGTCATTGTCATTCGTACTTGCGCTCTGTGCTGACGAGCTATCTAAAGAGTACATAGTTTCAATGAGTTCATAAGTTGTTCACAAAATGATCATTAACTACACTAAGTAGCAGTTTCAGTAAATGAATTTAAATATTAAATTACTTATTGAGTTGAATAAATGAATTTACAAAGTGACCATTTGGTGTTTGTTGAGCTCTATAACTTCCATATTCACTTTAGGAAATTACTATAACCAGTTAAAAGCAAATGATATCAATTGATCTGCTTTATATTCAGAAACAAATATAATTGTCACTTGTTTGTGCATAATTTAATTTATTAAATATAACAGAGAAGTCGCAGAAGGCAAACCTGTGAATTAGTTAAAATATGTGACATTTGTTTCCTTTGTATTTTAACGATGAAAATTGTAGGAATATAAAGGATGACGCTAAGCATACTTGATGCGGAGGTCAAATATTTAGAGAACATATAAAAGATAGGTGAAATGTAAACGTTCGTGCAAAGCATTGATATTTCAGCATACTCTGTAACGGATCGATGCCAAGCAAACATTGATAACAGTGCTGATAATACATATGGCTGAAACTATTCTTGACTTCAGTGACACTTATGAATACTGAGTTCTACAAAAAGAAGGTACAAAGTGAAAAACTGAATTGTACCAAAATATCAGAGTAAAAAAATTACTAATCCAATAGCGATATAAGAATATGTGGATCGCCATCTCATGTATTTGAGTGGAAAAATCACTGAGAGTATCCGGTCGCATGTTGTTGTTAATAGCATAAATGAAGTAGCGAAATCAGACCAACGCCATAACCAAGAGTGAGGCAATAACATACATTGGAGAAGATGAAACTTTTGATCTTTCAGATTCAAAAGTATTACCAGTATACGATAAACACCGCCACAAAAGGTTGCAAATGCTAAAAGATTTAACTAATTTTTACATTGCTCAACTTTATGACACCTCTTTATTTTTATCTTTTCCTGCTCATTAATTAATGAATATTGTCATATAGATACATCACAACAAACGATTGCAAATATTACAAGATTTAACTTGTTTTGATCGAACGAAATGATTCAGTTAGAAACCAGATTCGAATAATTTTTTCTTTGAATTTTTGAGTTTGAAACGAATTGAGCAGGAGTTGATCAAGTATTTTTATAAAGGAAAAGAAATGTTAAAGATGAAACGTTAGAGAAGAAAAACATGAGATACAATGTGCCGCAGTCTTAAAGGTAATTTGAATTAAGAAATTCAGTAAATGGAATAGTTTCAGTTTCAATTACTTGGATGAATTTCAGTATTCATAATTTTCGATCATACTTCAACAGTAAAATGTATAAACCTTCAACAAAATCAGCAACAGACAGGGCGCAGACGATTTGCATTTCGTGGCGGTAACGCAAGTGGCTGTTTCGTAGTATGGCAGTTATTAGGATGATATTAGATATAGTGGAGCAAATACCAAATGGAATAAATGAGATGGCCTGCAGTATGTGTATATTTGTTTGTTCATTCTGCTTAATTTTATTTTTAAATTATTAATTAATCCTTTTGTAGTATCGTGAACCTTCTGAAATTGTTTGATTTAGAGAACAAAATTTTCACAAATGGATTGACTGACCTATTAGGTCAAAGAATTATCTCATTACTACATTGCTATTTTCTTCATAATTTCGCTTAACACATCAGAATTTGAACATAATGTGGTTTTCGAAAGATTCTGTAAGAATATCAATTAATTAATTGATTAAATTTCTAAAAGTACAACTATCTCAACAAGAATTTGAAACGAAGTAATTTTTTTTTTTTGCTATTCACAAGATACCTTCTGAAATATGCTCTGTAATACTATTGCTAACTTACCTTAAGCAGCTCATTTCGAAATTCAAAGCATTCATTAATATCTTGTACTATAAGTGATGACGAATTTGACATTGCAACTTCTATAATTAAGATAACACCTTTATGAAAGCTGAAAAAACAGAATTTAAAGTAGAACTCTACGATGACGTAAGGACTATCCTGGGATTTACGAATAGACTTCTTTTAAACAACAGCGTTTCCATGAGTTCCACAAAAATTTACCTCTCAATTAATTCCAACTTTAGTTTTGGAATTAAGCTTTTAAAATTAGACTTAACAAACTGGAGTTTTATCAGGTTGTTAAAATTGCTTGTAAAAGAAGGGAAGAAAAAATAAATTTCGCCTTCATTTTACAAAGAGAATATGCATCAATTTTCTGCTGATATTTTGTCACTTCGACTTCCATCATTCCTCAGAAAAGCGTAAATCCTTTCTCCCCTACCTTCGTTGGTAAGCTATATGACTTTGAACTCTTACCGCAGGAATACTACCCATAAGAAATTATTTCTGATTATTAGCCGATTAACTCAGATAAATGATTTGAAAGCCATAAGACATAACGCATCCATCTCAAGCATTATCACAATATTTCATGTTTGTATGTTTGAAAGATAAACCTCCAAACTATCACCGAAATAGACAGATATGTCCATTCCATTACTCGTAGTTCACCGGTTAACTTGCATACCTTTCTGAAGTGTTCACCTTTTTATCTTATGTACTGTGAAATTCGTGGAACACATTAGAACACTCATTTTTCGGGTAAATTTTAATAAACAAGTAAATGCACTGAGTAAAATTATTTGCATTAAGCAGTAAGCTAGGGAAGCCATTATAAATTACACACAAAATCATAGCTTTCAAAGGCAAAGAATTGGCAATATAATCGAGTCAGTTTAAACGTTTTTATGGATACTAATTTTTAACAAGGAAAAAATAAAACAGTAGGAAAATAAGATGTAAAAGAATACAATAAGAGATGTAGAACTGAATTTTCTCACAGGGAAAGAAAGAAATGAAATATCAGTAAATATAAACGTGCGCAATCAACCAACTAATTATTGTTAACCAGTAAAAAAAACCAGTAAAAAAATATCAATCTTAAGAAGAAAAGCAAAATAAAAGCATAAGATATAGAATAATAAGAGATGCAAAAGTTGTTCAGTTAGCTAAGTTAGTAAACTCTCGGGAACTAACTAAAACGTTATGAGAATTTCATTTCTTACATATCAGAAAATGAACGGAAAGGAAGGGAAATCTTTTCATAATTATTGCGAGAATATATTCTTTAAATAAATGACGTCAGGACATGTCTTTGAATTTCCAACTTCAATCTTTCCTAATCATCGGACAGGACTATAATGTTCTTTTTCTCCTTTGTTTACAATAGTCACTCCCGATTACTATAAACAAGAAAGATATGTAAGGACTTTCATTTTTATATAATGAATTAAACCAAGGTTCAATTTTACGCTGCTTTATAAAGTTGAAAAGGCTGCAGATCTTATTAAGTGTAGAAAGGGAAAATACTAATTAATCAATTCGCAGTATATGCACTTTGGTGATTACTGTAAAGTAGTGGTGATTAGAGATTCAAACCCTTTCAAAATCAGTAAGCTGGAATAATCTTTCGGAAATTGAAGTTTAAAACATTAAATATTTTTGAAAAAAATTTCCAGGTATTGAGAAAACGCGCATTTTATGAAGTTCAGAAGTGATCTAAAAGATTTTCCTGAAATATATGCAGAATAAAATACAATTCAACTATTAAAACAAAGGAATGTAAAAAAAAACTGGAAAAATAAACGAAGCATAAATAATCATCTTCACTAAGCACCACCTAGAAGAATCATTCAGGATAAAGAAGGACTTTTACAAGATGAGTGGCAAATTTCCAGAAAAAGGTGCTGAAAAACAAAGAATGTAAAAAGTGAGAGATGCGCAAAGGTCTACTAAGCATGCATGAGCAAAAGAAATTCGAAAACGGAGAACTAATTTGATGCTAGAACTACAAGAATATCTTTAAACAAACTTTCTAAAAAAGTTCAAAGACTTTCTTCGACTTGTTTTGACTTGCTATTTCGAAATACTACAAAACTATTAATGAAGAAGGAAAATCCTTGAAAAATAAACGAATAATGAGAAACAAAATGAATACTTGAGTGATTAAAATGATAAATGCACTAAACCTAATTTTCTAGTTAAACTAATGATAAATTTTTGAGCTATCAGTTGTGAAAAGAAGTATACCTTATGCAGGGCAAATTCCAATCCTTACCTATGAATGATAGCACCTCCACAATTTATAAAAAATAATTGGATTATAAAGGAAATTCAAAAGCAGTACATCTTATATCTTGGAAACAGTGAAAATCTTTATCATATCAACCTATCTATGCTAAACCAAAAAAAAAAAACATATTTTACAATATCCAAATGATGAAGTGGTTTGTTATGAAAGCATTAAATGAAGAGTTGGAAAGTCTGTTTGCCCCTCAACATATGCAGTCAGAGAAAATTAAAATTAAATCTGCATTTAAAATAACTTTCTTACAATGCATAAAATTGTTTGGAATGTATGAAACAATCAAAAATTCAGATAATTTATAAATGCACTTTAAAGAACATTTCAGTGAATTGATTTCCTTTTTGAAAAAGATATTTGAAAAGGATTTTTCTTTTTTTGAAAATTCCCTTCTAATAATAGGTTAAAAGTATAAAATAGTGAAATTTAATTTCATTTTTCACAAACATGGGCTACATTAGGACTATTAATGCAAGCCCTAAAAACAAAATTTCATCTATTTCTGTATTTTTCTTTCAATTACAATACCAACCAATAAACCATATTTCACTGCTATCAAGATTGTTAATCTCATATCAATCAGGTAAAATGATAAGACAACTGCTGATGAATTGAACAAACCACTTGCTCTAATTTTTTCCAAGCCGGAAAATTTTTTTCAAACTGCTTTCTTTTTTCGAGGCAGATGTTGTTGAACCGCTAAAACAGAAAAAGTATGATTTTAACAAAATAAAATCGATCCAGTAATTTACATTCTCGTAAAGCACTTTAAAGATTCCTTGAATTATACTTCGAAAAGCAGAAAAAGTTTAAAAGAAAAGTTCAGTGTAAGTCAAGTTCATATTCATTATGATGCACAGTAATGAGTTTTAAGAAATTTCCTAATAAATTATAAACATTTCTTGAAGAAATATAAAAAAATCATATAAAATAATCATAAAAAAAAAAAAAAAATATTCTACGGACGTCGAATCCATTAGAACTTGGACTTGTTTTGCAACTGATAAATTGGGTGTTAATGGTACCGTGAAACTACTTTGATCAGTTGAATTCAACCGTGCCGAAAATACGCCAGACGATGTTAATGTCTTGTGCAATCCACCTGCAGTGTTAAAGCATATCATCTAATTTGGAGCGAATTATCGAGGATGCAAATTCATGCTTTCAAATTCAGTGAAATGAACGTAATACCGGCAACATATCGGTCAGATTGCAAATCAACATGTGGATTTAGAACTTCTGCTTCATTACTTCGACGGCGCATATCGAGATAAACAAGTAATGACGACAATTCCAATTCCTCGCTGTATTGATTACGAAGTGGTACGGATCGAAAACCTAAAAGAAAATAAAAATTAGCAGACAATGAACTACAATACCAAGAGTTTCTATTCCAAGTACCATATAACTAAATTTGCTTAAAGCCAAAAACTTATATTCGTAGTTTATTATACCTTAAGCTCCTCAAGAAATGTAGTGAATGACAATTTATATTTGAATGAAATGAAAAACATACCAGTGCGAATGCAGTCAAGTGGATACACAGCTTGTCCAATAAATGGATCCATCTTAGGTCCCATAAAATCGCCATCTTCAACATACAAGCGAAGTAAAGCTATTTCTGGACAGTACACTTTGAAGATGAATTTCTCATTCCAAACAGGATTCAAGCCATTGGAAGCTGAACTTAAATTCAAGATTGAATTTGAATTCTGATCTATCAATAAAACCGTTTAAATTTTATAATCTTTCGCCACAAATCTCGCCAAAAAACGAACCAATAGCTCGTGTTCGAACACTAGTTGAATCAGCCGGCAAACCCACAACTTCTACAGTAACAGTAGGAGAACAGATACCTCGATTTCTATCTTTCCTTGACAAATGTTGTCCTCCTACTACCTAAATAACCTTTGAAAGTGATTCTTAATAATTCTAATTCCAAAGTAAATACCAAACTTGTTTATCACTATCAAGCGTTAAGTTTCGATTTTGAAAATCCAGTGGATTTTAAGAAGTTAATTAATACCAAAATTTTGAAATTAGGAAAAAACTCGCTTTCACAGAATTAGTTTCGGACTTCAATTCCAAAACAATGAATCTTCTAATTTTGAAATCTAAAACCTTTCCAATTGAACAGCGAATAAATGTTTACATGAACAGTAAGAATGATTGGACAAGAGGTAGATACAACTTCGGCAGCATCGGGAGAAAACATTTCATCGATCATATAAGACGGTTTCAGTACATATCCACACTGACCATTCGCCATAAATTTGCCTTGATTAAGTTGCATCGACTAAAATTTTCATTTAGTTTCATCTATCAAAAGAACAACAATGAAACAAATTAAGCTATTAAAGTTTTTATTAAAAAAAGACAATACTTTACCGCTCCATATTATCTATTGTTTGAAAAATAAACCAACTTTCTTAAGAGACAAAAATTCATGCATAAAAAAAAAATCTATAAAATAGTGGAGATATGATATAAATATACTACAAACTAAAATTGTACACAAAGAACAATCAGTGTCGACATAACTGTCTATAGCAAAGAAAATTAAAACATTACGTGCCAAATGATTGGACTATAGAAACGAAATAATAAAAACAACACCTAACACCTTTCTCCATTTAAGTATGTTATAACAGAGTTGAACATTAACCCTGTCGCCAGTTTGGTAGTTCAATGCAACCATATGACATGCAGCATTCCACATTGGTACTGGATCATAATTTGCTGAAGTTACACGTGAACCTTGCGGATAAACGCGTGACAACTGACGAGCATTAAACTGAACTAAACCTCGTTCTACCAATTTTTCGAATTTTGTTTCACTGAACGAGCACATTTCATAGAAATTGCCTTGTGCTACAATATTTTCAGAATTTGCTTTTTCCAAGAGCGCTATACAAAATCAGAATCCATTTTTGAAATACATGTAAACAACGCACTGCTTAAGCAGTTCAGGAATTAAATATAAATTCATACTTACAGTTAAAGTTTATTTTCTGAATCTCCACCTTTCTGAACTACTCTGGTAAGAACTAGATCCATGAGATCTAATTAGTCCTTTACCAAAAGAAAAGAATATCTCAGACTCAAGAATCAGGATACAGAATATTTCAAATATAGATTCCACTCAATTTCAACTCTAATACACATTTTTTCTTTAATCACTACTAAAAAAGATGTTTATATTAAAACGATTTATATTCTCATATTCCACACGGGTGCATTTGATGTGATGTCCATATCCTCATAATTCTAGATTTACTTTTTCTTTAAACGTTTTTTTTTTTTTTTAATGAATTTATTTTTACCATTAAACTTCGGACAACTAAGTATTCATTATGACGTGATTAATTAAGTTATTGAAAGAACCGCAACGCTATTCAGTCTCTCTCCAGCACAAGATCCTAGAGACTAATAATATATTGATAACATACTTGCAAACTGTGAATTGAAAGGGACCGCCTGGCAGTAAACCACCAAATCAGATAATTCAGAAGCTATTCGCAGATTTTTCTCTCGTGTACGTATCAAGGTATTGCGATCCGTAACTGTCCTCATCAGCTCATGTAGAATATTTAACCAGTCTTCACGTTCTTCACTTGAATTGGCAGCTAAAACGTATTCCTGAAAATAATTACTAGGTAAATTATATTTCAAATTAAAAAAGAACCAATTCATCTTTATTAAATCTAAAACATTAACTCTTAATTGTGAGCAAATTGTAAATAACAAAACTAATATACGCTTGGATTCCAGTGCGTTGAAACACGTCTGATTTTAAATGCAAACGGTCGACCAGCAATTTCAAACGGTACTTCTTCAATTAAAGAATCGGCCAAATCGATAGCTGCGTAAGGCCCCAACTCACTCTAAAAAATTTATACGTAAATACTGAGTTTTTGTCAAATTAGCGAATAAGCTATAAGCAAATTCAGGAAAGCTTTAAATTTCATAAGCATTTTTTTAAGACTCCGGAAAGGACACACCGGTTGATTATCAGAAGTTTCTAGTTCAATAACGCATCGAGAAGGGAAGAAACCTGAACGACCGCGATATTTGCCACGCCAGCTATAACATAGTATTTCAACTTTGAGTTTAATAAACTGGAATTTTTCAAGACAGCTCCAAATCAAATCTTCTCAAATTTATGAGACTGTAGATTTTCACTTTAAAAAATATTTACCGGTCGCCATCTTTCCTGAATACATTTATCACCGCATTTACAGGGAATGAAAGTTCACAGGGAAGAGATCCATTGTAGGACTCGATAGCTCGAACCAATACCTAAATTTAAATGATGAGTTATACTCGCTAAGCTGCAAAAGAAATGTCTTAGTGCAACAAAATGAAAAATAATATGAATTAAATGTAGCCCAATTTCCTTTTGTTCAACAATATTTTCGAAAAATGAGATTTCACGAGAAAAAATTTAAGGAGAAATGTCTTAGTACTAATAGCAATCCATTTACATTAAATCCTAGAATACATAAATTCTTCCACTGTTCTTACAAATTATGACAAAACAAATGACTTCAGATTTCTAGCCTGCATAGTCATGACTAGCAGTATATCTGAATGAATAGAGTTCTCTTCTCAAGACATCAACTGAGAATATCGAAAACTAATGGAACTTACTGGAACTCAATGAAAATGATAAATTCACACATAGCTTTGGAGAAATTTTATGCTTCATTTAACAAAACCAATCTTATTACCTCTTTATCAATGTCTTTGAGTTCCATGTAACAACCAAGTGCCCGGTCGGTACTACAGCATATACCTGCAGAACCAATAATGGTATCCTCACCCACAGGATATTTTAGACATATTCCACGAACGAATTCCCTTGTTGAATAATATTCAACTATTTGATTCAAATTCTCGAAAATAGTCTGGTTAACAACAAAAATTCGACCATCGCGTTTCAAATGGTAGTGCCATATTTCGCCGTCAACTCTATAATGTAACACCACTTTTAATAGTGTAATAGCAGTGATTACCTACTAGCCAATACAAAAGAAGTAATGAAATTTCATCAAGATGAATGAATGAAACAGTGGAATGATGTATACCTCAGAGAAAGCACAAAAACGTTTTTATCAGTAGAACTAAAGCGCAGCAAGAAAGCCCCATCTTGTTGAACTGTGTTCAGCAGTTCTTCGGCACGATTTCTATCTGTTTTCTCACAAAACCATCTGAATAATAAACACGATGCCTTATATTATGTCTGTGATATCTCATATTTGCAAGAGCTTCGTATTTTAAGCTTCATTTTCTACTAATGTCTTTTTATTTCTTTGGGCATAAAAATAAAACTAGATACCAAAACGTGATTTACACACTGCAACTAATACTGCTCTTCATTAACTAATACTATATGTTCAATATAAGAATAAAAATAAGAACACTGATATTTAAATATAAAAGATTGGAAACAATTCAAGGATGTTCTCACACATTTAATCCAAAACTCACATCATGCCGAGATGAGGACAAGGCTGCGGACATGGAGTGATCAGTGTCGTGCTAAAATTAGGTGTCCTCAATCTTTCCTTTGTATAGTGCGATATAAGTTCATAAAGTGTATCCATTTGCTTATTTTCCAAAAAATAATATTTTTTTTCACCATTCACCATCCTTGTGCGTATTCGACAGTGATGTACTTTTTCATTATGTCTAAAATTGGTATATTTCATTCTTATTTGATTTAGTTAATGAAAAATGTCCAAAACTAACGTCGTCAGCTTTATCTTACGAATGTCAATGATCCAGTAACCTTATAAAGGATATATAATAATAATAATTGTAATAATAATAATTAATAGTGACAACAATAATTAATAATAATAAGAATAATAATAATAATATAAAAGATCCTCATAACAATCACAAATAAAAGCTTCTAAAAAAAGAAGAAACAATTAATTGCATCCCGTCTAATTTTAAAAGACTTACAGAAATGATAACGAGTAGTCGCCAATAAAAATAGTCGAATCGCGAACCAAAAAAAGACCATTGCCTTTATCTTTATGCTCCAAAAGGCGAATTCTTGCCGTATCTCGATCTGTTTTACCGTGAAACCATTCTTCTGTAATATGCATTTCCTCTGGAGGAACACCAAAACCCGTCAAGTTTGTCAAAACATCCTATAATAAAAATTCGGAGTAGAAACAATGTCTGAAACAGAAATGTTAAACTATTTCACGCACTGAAAACTTTCACGAGAAATTAATTACAATATACACTAAACACATCACTTGATTTTCATCATCATGTGCGTTTCCCAATGAATCTTGACGTCTCAGAATACCCTGATTATCAATATTATTCTCGCACTGTTCCAACATGTAACATAAACGATCCGGAAACAATATAAATAAATGAGTTGTCCATTCCTAAATAACGTCAGTTGCTCATATTTATAAAGAAGTAAAAATCTGTATTTATAAAAGTGTTAAGTGATAATTACAAATCATCCCAAAAAAGCAAATGCAAGAGCAATAATGTTCAGTCAACCTTTCTGTAAACCTTTGAAAAAAAAGAACGCCCAGGAGTCAAAGTATTTTTACATATGAAAAATGCAGCAACCTACATCGCTTATTCCGCTCTTCAATGACAGAATTCCTTGCCGCGTAAAATTCAGCAAAAGCAAATCCTGCTCTTGATCTAAAAATATAAAGAATTCAATACCCTCAAGTTTCTTCAGACATGTATGTGTAAATTCTTTCCAATTTCCATTAAAGCAAAAACACGCAAATATACGAAATTCAACTGCAGGAGCATTAAAACAGATATACCGTTCGGAAGCACTTAGAATAAATTTAGAAAAATTCACCCTCATCAGCTTGCTGTAAGATAATATTTTCACTTTCTGTCGGTAGCTTTTTATGCTTTAGAATAATTTTTCGCTTTAAAGCTTCCGGAGATGGTAAACAAGTTTCTTCACGACTAACTGGAGCTGTGAGTAAATAATCACCAAGAATTTCTCTAATTTCACGAGCAAGTAGGCGTTGTACCGGTACTGAACAATTGTCTTCAATCGAGAGAATTACTGGAAACCTAAATTTATCACGAGTTTTTAAGCGTTTAGGACAATACAACCTTATACATAGCTTTGATCTCATATAAAGCCATATTTTACTTTTCTGAAGTAGAGTTATAAATGCAAAAGCTTAGGAATATAAAAAGCATTGAATGATTATTTTACAAGATTTAATATCATTTATCTAAACTTACTCGCTATTGATAAAAGCATAATGACGAATGGTATAAAGCACATCGCGTAAATTGATTTTACTAGTCATCGTGTAACCATGGTAAATAACAATATCTTGTATTTCACCTGAATTTCTCTTTTGTCCATCCCAACAATCAACTAAAACCTGACACTATATTTAGATATTACTCAATTAACAATTTAAATTTATTTTTCATTAATTTCACAAAATTTGATTTTTTTTTTCCATTTGTTTCTCAAATATTTCCTATTATGAACTGATGAAGATCTATTCATCGACAATTTTGCTTTATCGTCTGTTTTACCCGTCATGTGACCAATTTAAAATTTTGTATTTTATGTTAGAAGCTTCCTTTTGCCTGGTCAAGCAAGTAATCACTAGTATCAATTAAAACAAACAAAAGCATACGTTCAACACATCTACAACCCATAAGCAAAGCTCGAGCATATGTATCCAAGGAGGATTCACTCTTGAGCTGATCACCGGTAAGATATCTAAAGTTATTTTAGTTATGTGAGATTTTTAAAATAGTTTTATTTGATAATGGCTTATAATAATTTACAGTGAAATCAAATTGAATGCTACAAGTGGTTAGATTTAGCTCAAATACAAAATTAACGTGTTGTGTGATGAAGCAATCCAATAGTGACTTAGTGGTCGATTCATGTCATGTATAACATTCTCGTTAACAGAATCCCATAGTGAATTTTCTCGAGAGAAGAGGAAATCGCAAAACTGGAAACAATATCCCTTTTTGATGACAAAAAAATCACTACAACATCTAAAAATGATATTGTGTATGAAGAAGCTGCAAATTACTATTAAGATAATTCCAATAGATTTGTAAACAGTTTGAGCAAAATTATAAAAATGTGAGCAAAAAAAACGCACTTCAGTAACGCTAAGAGCTGGTTCACGAACATCTCTATATGGGTCCCACTGTCGTAAAAAATGTCTGAGAAAATCACTGGCTTTTTCTCGCATCATCCCTATTTCATCCTAAAATTTCAGTCTTATATTGATTGTGACGAAATGCATGTTTATATTCTAATATAAGTGCAACAATAAATTCATAATAACTAAACATTCAAAAATATACTGATTAATTATTAATTATGTGCGCCCTATTCTAAAACCAAAAACACTTATTGTTACCCACGTTTTGCTTGTCCTTATGAAAGCGCAAGAAATTGTTGAAGCTAACAACAGCTGCATCATCCGAATAAGCCGCAAAATGTTCTGCGAAAAGCTGCAAAAAGCGTAAAAAATCTTGAACTATGAGCAGAAGAGAAATATTGCAATTAAATAACAAACTGTTCTAGAATGTCAACCGAGACAGAAGCGAAAGAGAGACAAAGAAGGGGCTTCGAGAAGTCTGCGGTGCATAAACAAAAATTGCTTAAAAGTAAAGAAGAAGTTTTGTTACCGAATTGGCGTGCAAAAGTTTGCGATAAGCATTTGCGAAACTGTCATAATGCATTGTCTCCTGAAGTAAACCAAAAATGTGGTCTGTAGTAGCAAAGCGGTGTAGGTAAAAATCTTTAGTTAAATTTTCTGTACACCAAATTAATAAAAAAATATGTTCCAATTTGAGCTCAATTAATACATTTATGAGTCAATTCATTGAAAATGGTTGTAAATGTGGCTTCTTCCAAATAAAATAACTTACTTCGCAAACCTCTTGCAACTGTTTTGACTGCACTTTATATTGTAGACTTGTTTGTACGAACGGCTTCATATGTTTCATCGCTACGCTGAAACCGTACAAACACAATCAGAACGGTAATATGACAAAATCATAGTGTACTAAAAATAAAAATCATGATTTATTTTAAAACATATTGATATACATTAATAGATTACTAAACTTCTTGTCTCTTCTAAATCAATTTCAGCGAATGCTCTAGCAACTAATTTTTCCCATAGTTTGGCAACAGTAATCTCAGTATAATCATGGCCAACATCAAAACATAAACATCTGAACAATGCAACATGTGACTATCAATTTTCTATCGCGATATAAAAAGTTATAAAGACAAAAGTTCAAAACAACTTGAAATTCTGCTTACCAAGGATTTTCAAGAGCATATCCAGCAATATTATAAAACTCCTTCCTTAGCCACCGTTCCACGAGGAGTGCATGACAAGCAGAAATTGTATCCAGCATCAAATAGTGAACACCTTGACACCACATGCGACATAAATCTTCCGTATCAACTAAAAAATTCACTTTCTAGTAAGTAACTAATTTATTTGGATCTACTATTACAATAATTTGCCACTATAAGTAGACGTCATAACTGAAAATTAGTATGCTTAATTGCGCCTACGTTGCCAAAACTTATGAAATTATTAACACATAGTATTATGAATATTTAAAATGTGATCATGTCTTCCGTATTACAGAATGCAGCCACTCACACAACAAAATCCAGTATCGCAAATTGAAAGTGGTTGCATAACTTAGAACTAATATTCTGGTTGCATCAAACTGTTTAATTTCCTTGTCTTTTTCCCACTTATCGCCGATTTTGATCTTTTTCAGTTTAAAATCAAGGGTGTGCACTTCTTTCACTATTCGCAAATCTAGCCGCAGCGTTTTGCCACCACTCTGAAACGTAATTAAAGTTTGAATTTACAATAAATCCAGTGATGCAAATAATATACCTTTACTCTTCAAAATTAGTTTTATTCATTTCATCAAGTATGCTTAGTTCATTTATTTCACTAAATTTAGTGAAAATATTATAGCTTTTAACATTGCATTAAAAAGGCAGTTTTACATTTGTCTCTTGGACTTCCTTTTAAAACTTATTTCATTTCTAATTTTACTTGATTTACAACTCCAATTAGAAACTATGGCAAAAATTTTCAGACTGTTGGTAAGCAAAATATGAGGATATGTAGCCAGACAGAGTAGAAAAATACAGACGCACATAAAAATCCTTAACTTGAATAACTTTAACCTTGTCATAATTATCCAGTTTCGACAAAAACAGTTGCCTCGTCTCACGGTTGTACGTAAGTCTTTTCTGTGCCGGATCTCGTCGCTTCATCAATAGAAGTTTGTAGACGTTGTGACCTGAAATATTAATGACTCATTGTTAAGTGTTAAACAAAATGCTATCGAATGCTTAGAAAGACACATATTTTATCGCGCTTTAAAATAATTTTCTAATATAATAAAATGAATATAAACAAACTTCTTCCATCAAAAAAGTTCTCCAGAAAAGCTACAATAGGTCATTATGTCATCCAGCTCGAAGCTACTTACGGTTACGCCATATTTAATTTCGTCTGACATCAGTTCATCATTTGATATTTTATACAATAAGAATTACCCATTTCCATTGCATGAAACACTTTTTCCATTTCGAATTCCACTGAGCTTGATGTCATAAGCGAATTGCTTGTAAATACGAAAGGACGCTGAAATAACAATACCGAATCTGCTGAGCTTTGAGGGTACATTTAGCTCTTGGAATATGTCCCTACAATACTAGGAGTATTCATTCCACATTTCAGTCTGAAAAAAAGTCAAGTTAAAGAAATTTTAAAAATATGAAAAAGTATATCACAGATATCTGAATCTCGAATTCATAATTTTTTCTAAATCATGATGTCCGTAACTACTACTTTAAGCCAAAAAAAGTGTAACATAACAAAGAAGTATAAACATAACAAATATAAATAAGGAAGTATAAACATGACCCAAAGAAGTGTAAAAAGTAACTTTACGACGCAAAGTCAAAAGCTAGCGAAAAATCAGATTTTGAAGATTTAAGCCAATTTCATCAACTATTCAAATATAATAGGTATTCATGAATAGTGAATCAAATCTTCCAGTACTAAAAATTTTAGTAGTGACTTTCTCTAAAGTAGTTTTTATGAACGACCATGATAAATTTATACAAGAACTTTTTAGTGGAGCATTTATCATTTGTGGATCCTATAAGTTTGTCAAAATATTAGTTAATTTACATCATAAAATACACTCCAAAAAACTGAGCACAAATAACAAACTGATATTTCGAAGGATACATAAAATTGACAATGTTAAGTAAAAAATGTTTGAAGATCAAAAATGAAATTTGAGAAAAAACTTAAAATGTCGGAGAGACAAAATCTCTATTTCTTTCTTCTACCGCTATGAAATAATAATGTATTAATAATCATAAAATCTATCCAAGTTTACTTTCGAGAGATGGATTAAATTATTCATATCACCTATAAATTTTTTATATTTTTTAATTTCCACGCAGAAAGTTTGGATAAACTGTTGCATCTTTAGACTGTTACTCTATTGCACTTTTAACTGTGGCTATAGAAAGTTTTTATGACCACCTTAGTAGAGATAGTAAAGACATTAATTAAGAATTGCAATGAAATTATAAACATAAAATCACGCTTTCTTTACTTTAAGTGCTACTGATGAAGCATAGCGGAATCCTTTAAACCAGCGAAAGTATTAATATCTTGTTTGATTCAGTAGAAAATTTTCATTCTCTCAAAGTACTCATAATTAAAATCACAGCTTCAAATCTACATATTAAAGAAACAGCTGAAATTTAGACTCTTGCAGAGATCTCTTCCATTATGAATGAATAGCAAAAATTACTCCCGAAATAGCAGAAATTACTACAAAACCTTCGGAATAGCAAGAAAAAAAATAGCAAACGTATACTACACTATGTCACACTTTGCCATCTTCGGAACAAAATTTAATAATTGAAGCTAATGAGAAATATTAATATTAACATCTTCCACTTCCAGTTCATTGCTTAATTCTTATATTTTTCAACTTCATTAACCATTAGGCTATCAGTTAGAATCATGAAATATGAATTATTTAGGACAGTTAACAAAATTATATAAATTAAACAACTAAACGAATTCATTACCAGGTTCAATAATCACTTTGAAAAAGAAAATCTAACTGATTGTAATAGTTATTTAATACTTCTTGAACAAAAATTCATTTCAATAAACTTAAAATAACTATGTAAAAAACTTTTTAAAAAATATTTCTAAAAAATTCTAAAAAGTTATATTGAAAAAGTTTACTGCAACCAAGTTATAATTTTCAATCGATATTAGTGAAACTTGGTCCGGCGCGAAAAACACTTACTTTTCTTTGAAATTACTTTTGCTCCATCATACATTCTTCATTCTTTCACAAGCTCTTATATATTCTTAAGTCAATTAAAAACACAACGGATTGGTTAAATTTGCTTTGTTAAGAGACTCTAACTTGCATGGATATCTTTTATTGAAATAATGGATATCATTTTTTGTTGGAGTGATGAGTGCTATGGTCAGTGTTCAATCTTTGTAGTAGACATTAGGAAAATTATTGAACTGTGGAACGAAAAGAAGTGACACACTTCAAACAATAATATCTTGTCAAAAGAAGGAAAGCTATGGGAAAATTTCTACCAATGACCTTATCATCCATTTGATCACTCCGCAGCCATCCCTGATATTGTCAGGTTTCTTAATGTCAACAATACAGATAGCCGATTGTCGTTGCAAGAATCGGACAGATTCGAAAATTCTTATAGACTGAATCGATGATGTGGCGGAAAAGGACGCGTAAGTGTGGTTGTGTCCGGACGCAAGCCAGGGAGCTACAATAATAATAATCTCGTGCTATTGTCAGCATTTCTTGCGACTCTCAGAAGTCAAGTCTAGCAAATTAAGCAGGAAAAGTTCAGAAAGCTTTTGTTTAGTAACACCGGCCGGTCATACTAGTTTCTTGCTCGTGTATTCCATCAAGTCTTGTCTTAAGTCCCGATAGTCCTTAGTATTATTGATAGGTTTCTGATAAAACCACACTGTTGCAGTTTGTTTCTTTAAAATTCCGCTTTATCAATAAAGATAGATATATATTAATGTGGGGAATACCTTAGTTTTGTCTAAAATTGTAGTAAATTGTTCTATGTCTTCTATTTAACTTAATTGTTTATATCGAATCTAATTATTTATTTGAAAATAATAACTCTACTTGCTACTATTTTCAACATTTCATACAACTTGCCTCCGGGATGTCCTCAGATTGTCTTTTGAGCGCTATCCTTTCCTATCATAAATTTATCAAAATTAGTATCAAAAAATTCCTTTCCAATCCAAAATCCTTGGACTTAAATATTTTTATTACATTTTGCGAGAATGAAACAAATTTACGATACAAGCAGACAATATTTATATCGATTATAAGATATGCATGGATTATTTATTATTTATTATTATTATTATTATATTATTGTTAATATTATTGTTATTATTATTATTATTAATTGTATGTCACATCATTAATTTAAAGCAGAAGAGAGTTCCGGAAAATGGGAAGTTTTTCAACACTCACTCTCTGATCGAATAGTCAACAAACATTTAGCTAATAAGCACACAATCTAATTAACAATTATTAGAATTATTTAATTTCACGAAAATTATTTGTTTTTAGTTTAATTTATTCACCCACTCATTCAGCTTCTCATTGTTTCTTTCTATGCCAGTTTCACAAAAGAAATTTTCGTTTTTGTCCGTTAATATTCCATATTTGAAGCAAACTTTAACAAGACACAGAATGTAATATTTACTTCATTTCCTTTTGATTTTGAAGATAATCTTTGAAAGCTGTTGAAATTTTAGTCCTCAAAAGTGTGAATTCAAATCCTAAAATACGGTAATAAACGAAAAAAATGATGAATGTGCAAATTAATTTTCCTAAGAATTTCAATTTATGTTTAGGACCAGCTTGTACTTTATAAGAAAATGAAAAGCATCAAATACTGCGTATTTAATCTACCGGAGATCATGACTTATTAATTCCACAAAATTTTATTTTTCATTGTCCACTATTAAGTTATCTTTTAATGCTCTATCAAATAATTTAGAATAGTTCTGCTAACTGGATGCATTCGATTTTGATTTTAAGATGCTTAATTGTTTTAAAAGAGAATTGAAAAAATTGGTAACATCTCTGATTCTGTTTAAGTGATGAATAATATTTTATGAAAGTCTGCACTTCTCGCTGCTCATTTGTCTAATTGTTCAATTAATATGAATAAATATTAGGTTTCTATTTGAGTGGATCAGAAAGCTTTATTGATGATCGATTGAATGTACTGGTAGAGATATCTAGTCTTTTAATTTATAGATGCATTTCTTTTGCTTGCTATATGCATATTTGTTTGCAAACGTAGATCTTTCAAAATTAAGCTTAATTAATTCATTGGTCAATCAAAATTTCATTGAAATTTTAAACGAATAGGAATGGATTTCTTATACTTGTGAAATTAAAAAAATATATATATAAATCATATAGGTCTTGAATCCCACTTATTTCATGATGTTTTAGGTTACGCAGAGCAAGCAAGTAGTAACGTAGTGTAGAAGAGCTGAGAAATAATCTGTTAACCCCTGATTACTTTCCGTTTTGTGACATATCTTAGGTGTTTCCCTAACAACATGGAACCTTATTTATCTTATAGCAGCTCTGTTCTTATCAGATAAATTTTATTGTGGAAGAGGAAAGAAATCTGAAGCTTAAGGAATAGCAACAGTAAGTTCTTGCATCAAACAATTAGAGTAAATAGTGCTATTTGCATTTATTACGGTCAAAAATTTATTCTTAAGAAATCTTCTATAATCAATAAAATAATCGAAATGGAAGGCAGGAAGAGAAACATTTTCACTATTTTAACGGAAAAATTAAAGAGCAAAAAGTTCGCCCTACTGTTTTATTGCCAGTTTGGTATGTATTAGAAATTTTGGTATAATAGAAATGGAAATTATTGTATGCGATACTGAGATGTGCTTGCAGAAAATTAGCGAAGTTATATTCCATATCAAGTGTAACTTTTTTACTTCAAAACGAACAAATTTAGTCAGATAATTAATTTGAATAATGTTTGTTAACTAAAGCTGATGTGGAAATAACTATTTCTATTTGTTTCATTTCATTTTGAAATTTTCATTGATTGCAAATAAAAGATGTGCAATAAATTTTAAAATCAGTTGTTCACTTCACCCAATTTCTGGATGTTTTTAAAAGGTTCGCTATCAAATGTCCCAATTCTTCAATAGTAATCATTTTATTTACCACATATCACACGACATTCTATAATGCCATTCAATGCTAATAATGTTTTTACACGTACTTCTCGCTTTCTAAAATTTCAAAAATTGAAAAAAAGTCAGCTTGTCATATGCCTCATATCCTACTGTTTCAAAAAATGAATCATCTCTCTGCTAAATTTATTTCGTCGTCATTTTGTTACATTGTATAAAATCAATCCTAATTGATCATTATTTTGGGAAGAAAATGACGTAATATCATTAAAAATATTTTAAAACTTTTGCTTCGCATTTGCTATTTCACCTATTCTTTCTCATCTTTCAAATTTTAGTTTAAAAATGTTGTGCATTGCACACAAAACTTTTATCAGCATAATAAGAAGTCTGGAATGAGTAAGAGTTAATTAGTTGTCAAAAGATGGCTAAACCTTAATACGTTTCGTGAAGTTTGTAAATTCAGTTTCAGGAAAATAGGTTTGCACTATAGTTATACTTGATCGTTCGAACGCTGTTCATTGTCAAGCTTTTATTTAATTGACTTCGAATATTTAGCAAAAAAGAGCTGATATAATATATCACGGAAATTATATCAAATGTGCAAACAAAAGATTTGTCCTATCATCGAAATAAAACAATTTTTAATTGTAAAGAACTGATAGAAAATTTTCCAAAATAAAAAAAAGTTTTCGAAACTATTTTAAACTACTCGATGGCTTTGATAGAAAAAGAACTTAACAAATTTATTGGAAGTTTAACAATTCCGGCTTCTGAAATAAATAATTCTCAACTGGTTAAAGAATCATTGATTCTATAATTAAACTCTTCCATATAACATGCATTTCACAGCATCAAAGCCAGAAAACAGGCTAAGTTTTAAAAATTTCCATCACTTTTTTTTCTAAAATTAACCTGACAATTCGTTGTAAGCACGAGGATTTCTTCGAAATTAAATCCATCGGAGAGATTCCTCTGCACCTCTAAAAATTTGTAATTTTATTTAACTTAAAGAAACTTTTCTATCCCTAGGGAAGCATGAATAGAGAATATAACATAAAGGCACTTTAATCACAACATCCTAACAATCATTTGCTAATTAGTAGGATATTCCTGGAAAAAATTGAAAGCGTCACTAGATTATATCAATAAACAAACTGCTCCAAATCAATTTTCCTGTTAAAACTAGGCGGAACCTTCCACTGCACATAAGATTTTATCCCATAAACAATGTGTACATTAACACGAACTATACAACACGATAAATAATATAACAAAACCACAATACCCACTTAGACATCGAAATGGTGCTGGATAATTCTCATTAGAACAGTTAGAGTGAAGAATAAATTTTTGATGCTTAAAATCTCCGCATTTACAGCAAATAACTACAGATAAAATGCTTAGGTCAGAAATTACATATGAAACTTAAAATTAAATCACATTACGACATTATTCAGTGTTGGAAATCTTCAAAAAGAAAGCCTGAGATCAAAAAATGTGCATGAAAGAAGTGAAATGGAAGACTGTTTGAATGCATTATTAGGCTCCAACAGAGTATATCTGAAGCAGAAATTAACGTTCAAACAAAAAATTTTTAAACCGTCAAAACCAACAATACATAAATTTGAAGTAAAATCGCACTTAATATAAAGTTAATGTCAAAATCATGCTCTAAAGCTATCAAATGCTGCCTTTTTTGGAAAGCAAAAGTACAAGATCCTAGACTTGAAATTATGATCAACATAGCATGCTAAATTTAAGTCAGAAAACCATAGCATAATAAAAGGGCTGAATAGCACATTTTAATGAATCAAATACGATGCCTTTAATAATTTCAACATAATCAATTGCAACATGATGTAGTATATTAACAGTTTTTACAGTTCTTAGTTCTTATTGATAATTCAAGTAATTACAAATAGGAATGAAGAAAAAAATGTTTTTAAGCTGCACTACTGTAAAGTATTCTCTTTATATACATATATCGGAAGATTACAAAAATGTATCTTTATCTCAAAATTTTTGAGCCTGAAAAATTCGAATGTTCATTAATTAAAAACGGTTTTCAAACATAGAAGAAAAAATAATTAAATAATTTGTTAAAATTCTACACTTTTGAAATAAGTCATGAATGATGAATATGCACATAATAAAAGTGTATTAAAAATAAGGAGATCAGGAATAAGCAAAAAAGCATCTTCTGGAGAAAAGGAACACTCCCATTTTTTTATATTTATTTAAGCTCTTTTTTCCTAATTTATCATCACTTAGAAAAGCTCAAAAATTTTCTGGAACACTCAAGTTTACCAACCAAAAATTTCGAAGCTCCAACGGATTAAATTTCTCAGAGCAAATAGAAAGGACAAGATAGAAAGAAAATTTTTTACAAAATCATGACTAATAAACTGTAATGAACTGCTTCGCTCCCAGATATTTCATGCAGCGTAGAAGAAAATAGATCCATCACCGCAGGCGATGGCCAAATCATCATCGTAATAGTCGAACTAAAAATTAATCCTATATTTCAATGAGACCAAAAAGAAACCACAAAGAAAGATTCCTTTTTCTTGAATTCACTGCCTGTAAATAAACATGAGTTGTCAGTATTTTTGTATTATCTTCACAGCTGTATAATAAAATCTACTCTGGACGGTTCTGCATCAAACATTTCGGATTCAGCAAACAGGCTAGGGCTTAAACCAGGTGTAAACACTTTAAAAAGACGATCCTTCGTAATGCACATTTGGCTTCCAGTGTTCAGTTTTACCTGCCGCAAACCACCTTTTCCAACGAATACTTCCTGAAATAGGCCATTATATCTCTTCATTCCAATATCTCTTAATTACAGCAATATCACATTAATGGAAATAAAACATACACTGATAACTGTTAAATCGTTCGGGTTGATAGAAAGCATCTTTCCGTCGTTGGTTCCACAGAGTAGCTGTCCTTGTCGTAACGACATAGTTTGAGAATAAGCTTCCAGTTCTAAATCTGTCACAACCTCCCACATACGTTTATCTACACATGCCAATCGTCGATCCTCACCACATGAATAAAGATAATTGCTGCCTGGCTATAACAGAAGTTATAACAACAGTAAAAAACTTTTAGAGTTATTTCTTCGGCAAGGTATCCATTTGGCTCGAAAAAACCAAACACTGGTGAATACAAAATTGAAGGAAAATCAAAAGTTGAGAAAATAATAACCATCTGAACAAGATCGAAAACAGCGCTTCGGTGATACAGCATATCAGTAATTTTCTGCAACGAATTGCGCGCATCCATAACGACCACTCTTCGTCCAAATGTGGAACAAACAGCTGTTGTACCATCATTTATAATACATAGCACTGCAGAGTTCATCTGAACATCACAAAGCGCCTATAAGAAATGAATTAATAAGGAAGAGGAAAAAGTGAATTATGTAGAAAAAATGAATTCGCATTCTTTTTTTCTTACTTTCTTATTTACAGCCATTCTTTCTTGCTTTCTTATTTTTTTTCTTTTTTCTTATTTCTTTCTTCTTATTTTTTATTTTTTTCTTATCTTTCTTATTTACTTTCTTTTTTATCTTATTTACACCTTTCGATTTCACCACTTTATATTCTTCTTTTTTGAAAGCTCATATTTACTTTTCTTGACTTTATGCATTATACATCACATATACGTAACGAGCAGTTCATTCCGTTTATTAATTACAACGACGTTCAAACTTATTCAGTTAATTCATTTAAAATTTATTTTCCTGATTTCTTCGTTTACCTTGTAATCTCAAATGTTATTCGCATTTTTTGTTATGAAGAGAAAAATAAAAAACATCCTTTAATCTTTCAAAGAATCGCAAAATAACACCGCTTGCGAAAAAATCTTACATTAAGATGTCCATCAACGATTCGCCATTGCTTTACATAACGATCCCATGCACAAGAGTAAAACATATCTGTATCCGCTCTGCATACACTCCATATCCATCCCTGCATACTACATGAAGCTATGCAAAATCACGTTATAAAAATCTTAATCTGAATTTCACGATACAATAAAGACAAGAGCACTAAAATAATTAAGAAATCTATGCACTGATCGTTAGGACCATGTCCAAAGCATAGTTAAATGATCACCCACATTACACAGAATGATCTGTTTCAGAATCTAAGTTGATCCTTTAATTCTTACACTAAACAAATAACTTTACCTGATGAGCTTCAGAAAATTCATATAGTTTCCAGTTTTCGCTTCTCACACCGTTCTGTAACAATGAAGATCTCGGTTCTTTAAACAATATTAACAAAAACCACTTAAAATCTAGTTGTCCTATCAAGAAGGAAGTTTGTATGTTAATAATGCACTTGAAGAGCAACTACTTACAAATTTTGGCACAGCGAACAAAGACTGCAGAAACGAAGTTTTATCTTCAAACAAACCAAACATTTCTAATTAATATAAAAAGAAATACCATAGATATAAAAGCTGTCAGAAGAAAGAGTACTGAATTCAATTTCATCAAATGAAAAATTGCAAAAGTTGAAAAAAGAATTCTTGAATAAAAAATAGGAAAAATTGAAGAATTCTAACGGTTATAGTATCTACATCCCAAATAATCAGTGCACGATCACGAGCACCGGAAATACACAGTCGTTTATGTGCCGATGATTTCATCATTGCCATAGCATCAACTGTTCCATCATGTCCTATCGCACAGATAAGTCGTCCCAATCTGAAAAACTTCAATGAGGATAAGATTTTTTCAAAACTATAAAAAAACTCAATATTTTTTAATGAATTAAGAAAAAAAGTCACACTTCCCGTCTTTCCATCGTTCCGTTTCTTCTTCTGTTCTAGCGCAACAATGTGATAATGAGGATACTGAGCCGTCTAACTGATAAGATGGCAATTCAATTTTAAACTTTCTCTGCAATGCTTTCAAAGTTAACTTGAATCTCGAAATATGAATATAAGCCCTTCCTCTTATTTCAAGTCCCGAACTAAACCATTCCATATAGTAAAAACTTGTACACCAAATTTTTTTTTTTTTAAATAAAACGAATCTACCTGCAATTTCCGTCTCCAATAGCTGTGATCAGCAAGAATCGCTGCGAAAAATCGACATGTCAGACGAACGTTTTGCCATAAGTCACGACTTGGGAGATAGTTTAGAATTATTAAAATTAGTTCACATGGTAAGTCGATCATTCCCGACATGTCCTATGTTATATACGATCGTAAAGTATTAAATGAAACTAGAACCACTTAAAACAAAAAGTAATGAACATTACAGTACAGCTCCATCTGATAATTCAAATTTCAACGAATTGGGATAAATTTATACCAAAAGGGGCTAGAAAAGAAAGAAAATTTTTAAAATGATGAAGCTGACAGTGAATTAGGTGTTGATAACACTCTATTTTCCTTTTAATCTTTTTGTGTATGAGTATGTGTGCATCTTTAAGTAGATGCCTTTCTATTATACAAGTTTCCTTCTCGCTTAAACTTATTTTCGTTGACATATTTATTGTTATTAAATTGAATAAAATCTGAATATTAACGACGAACGATAAAAATTTAAATCATTTTGCGTGAAGCAAAGGAAATATCAAACTTCCCCTGAGAATTCAAAATTTGTCACTGCCCTTAGTCATAGGAAACACGCACAAATTAAGTAGAAGTAAAAAAGCATCTCATCGCTAATTTTTCTTTTGATGAATAATCAAGTAGTTCTGGTTAAATAACCAATTAATGTTTCCTAATAAATCTCAAAAAAAAAAAGATGCAAATCTTTATTCAGAACACTACAACATGCAGTAAAAGATAGTGATGAGATGGTACATTTTACCAAAAAAATAAAAATAAATCGATTAATGTTGACTGTGAGTGAAAAACAATAACAAGTGGGATTATTTAAACTCCGAATTTTCGATAAATAATAAGTAATTAATAAACCATCTTCATTACTAATCAACATATGTGCCCATCTTTTTAAACTCATCATCGACATCGAATTCAGGTTCCCAAATAAGTTTGGCATCATGCACAACTCGACGACGAAACATACGCAGTGGAGTAGCAAATGCTTTCTTCTAAAACAGGTAGCTACTCTACTTATATATAAATTAAGCAATTAAAGAAAAATGCATTAATCAAGTATTTTGAAGAAATATCTTTCTAATTACTTAATTGAGTTCAAAATATTAAACAAAAGAAGTGCAATTAGCTATATCTTAATTTTAGAACAATGAAAACAATAGCAAACAAAACAAACTATCAAAGTTTGATGTGTGCAATGTGCGCATCACGATAAAGAGAAGAGTTCATCTAAATGAAGTGATCCTTCAGAATACCAACAATCATCCTAAGTTGTGCACTATAACAAACAACTTACTTTATTAATCAAGTAACCTCCATCACGATATTTCAACATTTTATTTTCAAGCATTGTACTAATGATATCTGATGAATGTATACCAGTTTCGTTGCTCATTTCTAAAAAAATTGAGTTCCAATTTTAAATTAAAAAAAATATACATTTCCAAAATATTTTTAATTCGTAGTACTCATCACAAAGTAAATGATTAGTACGGCTTTAGAAATTATACTAATATTGCTTAGATATCAAAAAACTAAATTTCATGCCTTTGATGGATAGAGATTTCATCGACCGTCGCTTTCGAATGTAGCATATGATCACTGCTTTCCAATAACTTCGATATGTGATTAAACCCATATCCGAAAGTGGATGCTCAGGTCCACCAATCTTCCGCTCTCGTAAAGAAAGTTTGTAACCTAGGAAAGATTTCAGGGAAAAAAATTATAACGTAGCAGAAAAAAAGAAAACTTTCCTAGTATAAAATTCACTGCTCATTAAAATCTGTGAAAACAGAAAGAAATTTACTGAGATCGATGAGGAATTTGCCATATCCAGTTCGCTGTGATGATGGAAGAGTCAATAAGCAGCTCAAGTTATTATTTTTGCTCGGATTTTTTTCCTTGAATAAAACAATATATTTTAAACAAGGATTACTTATCTGACTTTTAGAATGATCTCAGAGATAATGCTGAAAATATACCTTCGAAAAATAACCCAAAAGCACATAACCCTCCGCTGTATATTCCGTCAAGATATAGAACAAGAACGTTTCCACTTCATGATGAAGAGTTTTTGAAAAAAGAAACAACTTGGAAAGCAAACACAGCCTTCGGCAGTAAGCCTAAAATAGCATCAAAAAATTGAAGACAATCGTTTATAAGTTCTATAATCATCAGCTTTATGTGAAGTACTATGTACAAATGTAGTAAGATATGAAATGACGCTCGACGTTTCAAAACTATGTAAAAACCAATTTCTTTCTTTTTTTTTTTTCCAAAACTTCTATTTCTAAAAAATTTAGATCTGCAAAAGGTAACTGCGCAATTATGAGAAATTCTCTTTAATGTTTTTACTAAATCAGAGAGAAGACAAACAATTTCATCAATGCCGTCGATTTCCCAAAATGATAGTCTATCATCCCGATAAATTTCATTCCCCGGCGGATGTTTCCACTCACAACAAGCCTTAAAAAGGAACATTTCATCAATTCATAAAAGCATAAAATATGATAAAACACGAATGCAAAAACTTGGAATGATCGTAAAAAATATTTAAGCTGCGTGAACCTAATCTTATGTAGTCAGTAATATACGGTATCAAACAATATCAGATAAATTTACAAAGAATGAGTGCATAAGTACCGCATGTATTTCGTACAATGTAGAATCTTCAAGAGCTAGGAGACAGAATCGACATAAATAAACACTGGATGATTGTGCGATACGTTTTGGGTAAGGTGATGGGTACATTACTAGTAAACGTTCGGAACCCAAGTGGACCCATTGTGTTTGAGGCGGTCTTTCTTCATCAGCATTTAAATCTTCCGATGGTTGAAATGCCAGAAATTCTCTTTTAGCAGTTGTGTACCTGTAATTTCTACGAGACAGAAATCATATTCTACAGTGTTACAAAGAATGTTGAAAACATATAAGAACTCAAATTTCTATCTAGTAGAAAGAAGTTCAAAAAAAAAAAAATAAATAAATAAAAGCTGATCAACCATATATGTCCGAATATCGTTGCAATCACTTTTCCTCCTCCTGGATATTAGTTAGAATTAACTTTATTTTACTTTTTAAAAAAATGCAACCTATAGAGCTTCGTCGTTAACTTCAAAAATGTACATCGTAAAATACAAGCAAATAAAATGCAAGATATAGGACTTACAAATTATGGTCAAAAGCAGTTGAACTGTCCTTCATCACTCGATGTTTTTCAGCTTCTGTTAACTGCTCAGAAACATCTCGTTTTGCGTGAACAGAAATTTTAATCCCATCGACAATATTGATATTCCTAGCCGATTCATTTTCCGAATCGCTCCGTTTTACTTTCTAAACAACTACAGCCTTTTCTATTTATGAGAAAATATTCTCAATAACGTTGCCTAAACAAATTTAGTTCGAAGTTTTCAGTTGTGCTCTAATGTATAGCGATTTATTTGAAAAACAATGGAATTTAACCAAAAAAGATGCTTCAGGAACTTGATATTTCAGTAGGAACTTGATAATGATATAAACATCAATATAAAAAAACTGGAAAATTCATCAAAACCATAAATACGATCAATGTTTTAAGGCAAACAATAAAGAACCAAAAAAGCAAAGAAAAAAGTGAAAAAAAAACCTTCGCATTTTTTACAGCAATCTTTTTCTTCAATGAAAAATCCTCCCTTTCAATTTGTCGCTTCACTTTATTTCTTTCTTTTTGTTCTTTCTCTTCCAAATATTGATGACAGGAATCTTTCAACTGATCGTTTATCTAGAAATCCATGCATAAACAAAATCTGCTTTGCTAAAGGAATAAATTTACAGTAAAAATTAATATCATTTCTCAATCATTTAATCTTATTAAAAATTAACAACTTGTCACTAGGAAGCTAACTACAAAAATATTATAATACAATACGATGTGAAGAAGCATAATGAAAGATACATACAGCATCTCGTTCAGCTTGTAACTTAGCTTTCCAGAGATAAGCTGATGTGCAATCACGTTTTAAATGCCAGGAATATAATTTCTTCCCCGTTGATCCATTTCCTTGCAGGGAACTACTCGATGAAAAGGAGCTAATCGACGATTCACTGAAAAACCCAAAAGTTTGTCAGTATTTCTTCGAAAATCATTAGCATTAGTTTTAATCGATCCAACAGTTATTTATCGTCTCCCATATTTTCCTTCTCTCCCTCGAAATCTGGAAAACAGTCCTAATTCTCCGCTTATCAAAAACGATTCAAAAGGCAACCACGACAGTGTTTGAAAGACCAACTCTTTTGAATAAACTAAACAATAAACTTGAAAGTGAATCCAGATCTGTTTAAATTCGAAAACCTTACTTTTCATTGGTCCAAAAGCTGCACAGCATAAATGTCGTAAAAACGACACATTTAAATTACATTCAAATCCTAATATTTTTTGCCAGATGCGTGATGAGTCAATCACCAAATATTTCTGCATTTAAATAATAACACTGTCTAGATCCTTAAGCCACTAAGCTAATTACATCCTCTTTTCTCACACAACGAAAAACTAATTTTGTTACCAGTTTTTGTTTACATTCATGCAAATGTTTCAACCAGCTTTCGGGTTGTCAGTTCAGTTCTATATATAAACCAACCAACCTTCCATACTAACCATTATTCATGCCTCGTTTTTGGGTAGTTTTTGAAGTATTTTAGTGTTTTATGATCATTATTATACCATTTATAATATCTATGCGTTGTTATAACATTGATTTTTGCGTTAATGTTAATTTTGGTTTAATTACCCAAGTTTGAGGCAAATAAAATATCTGGCAGTCAATACATTCTAATAAGCAATTTTTTTTTAAAAACATCAACTGACCTATTTTCGATGTCCAAAAGATGTTTGCATTTTGAACAGAACCAACTTGAAAGCGGATCCTTCGGATTTATCCACGCTCCAGAAGGTGGTTTACATGTTCCATGAAAAGCTGTATCGCATGCAAAACACTGCACATTTTCCGGCTGAAAATCGTAAAAGCTATATAATCTGCTTCAATTTTGACAAATGCCTCAAAATTAGATTTTTTTAAAAAAACACCAAAATTAACAGGAACAGGAAAGTCTCAACACAAGATATTTTATAATGAACTTTAGATAAAAGTTAAAACTTCAAACTTTAAACAAAGCAAAAACAGGCTATGAATAAAGGCATTATTAATCTACAGTGTTCTACACAAGAAATTCCAACTAGAGAGGAACATCCTCAATCATAAAAACTCACATCATATATAAACTCATTGCAACTGTAGCAGTATATACATGTCGGACAAAGCCATGTGCAGCACCGTTTTTCTGACACCAAACGTATAGATTCTGGTGCATATCCCAAACATTCCAAGTGATCTGAAAAATCATATTGATCTGCATATTGACTATAAACTTGAATATCTGACCGGCGTAAAAATTAGATTTTCATAAGGGCAGGAAACTACGGGCATAATTACCATAGACAAGAAATAAGTCTTGATTAAAAAAATAATGTATTTATAGATATTTAGCTTTATTTTACACGCTTATATGATTCATAGCATTAAAAACTCATGTACTCAGAGTAATGGAAAAAGCACTCAATACGGAGACTATCACATGAAATGATTACATTAAAAGATATTTGACTGAAAAGAATTTACATTTGTTTTCACAAACAGAACATGTCATGAAACCCCCAGCACTTATTTTACATAGTCGACAGCGGTCTGTTCCTCGTGACCTGAAATAAATTAGAAAATATCATTCCTTTAAGTCAGCATTACATTTGCAAAAGCATTATGGGAAACTGACTGTAATTCATGAAATCAGTCTAACTGAATCACAAATTCTTTTCAAATGTCCAAAATAAAATTCAAAGAATTTACAAAAAAAAAAACGATGAATTCAAATGTCTAAAATAAAATTCAACCACAAACTGCCTTTTATATAATCCTCTAGTTTTGATTGGAGAATAAATGGAGGAGCTTTTCTGCTGCTTGTATTCCCTGACCTTTGCCAAAATCTTTTCGCTCTTTCTTACAACGTCAGATGAGTCAGCAGAAGTTTGTAAATTAAGTCGAGTTTTCTTCACTGCTGCAATCCTGAATGATAAAAAAATGTGGCACATGCAAAGAAACATGTACTACACGAAAACAGGAAAAAAGCTAAACAGTCACAAGGTATAAACTAAATAATGGTATAAACTACAATGAAAGTAAGTTATAAGTGTAAAAAATTAGATGCAACAATGAAGTAATCATATCTCATAATATTATAATAGTATTAATTTGTTAATGACTTAAATTTTAGCTTAACTAAATCCACTTGTTAGTACAACTGCTAATACATGCCCAATTAATGAGGCTGAATACCTGCAAATTCAATTCAAATTACTTAGGCAAGCTTAAATTACCTTCTGCTCCTGCTATCGCCGTTCCCGATTGTTCTCGAGCATGAAGCAGTCTGAGTAGATAAAGCTTTCACCTTCTCATTCACAAAAGTTATTTGCTGCTGTCTTTTTCTTGATGCTTTCGTAGCTTCAGATGTCCTCTTTCGAGTCTTCATTTCTACAATACAAATTTTGAATGATGATACTAATGTGAATTGAACATCTTGCCTTGAGCTCAGAAATTTAAACACCATGCAGTACAGAGAAATGCGCCACAAATAGAGCCGAAATTCTCAGCTTTTTGTGGTATGTCATAAGTTATAACAACTATACGAAGATTTACACTCATCTCCCTGTCTCTCTCTCTTGAAATACATTTTGTTCATCATTCCAGTCACTTCACGAATCACGTAACTGCGTCTCTCTCTACACGTGAAACATTATAGCGGTATGCTTCACCCATCACATTTCACAACCACGTACAATCCTTTAACAAAATGTCTACACGCAAAGAAAATTTAAGTACTACTCACAATCACCCATTTCATGAAAGGTTTCGTCCATTGCAGCATAATTTTTTAATTAAATGAATGTATGTGAACGTAGACATTAAGAAGAAGAAGCTTATCAGTAGAGAATTGAAATGCTGGCGTGATCTGTGATGGATGGATGGATGTGATATTCACTGACTGATATTTGAACACACTGATCACTTATCTCTTTAACAGATGTTGACGAGCTCAGCACAAATGTCCAACTGAAATAATAGTAAGCATTAAGCCGCCTCTGCTACTTCTGCTGCTGCTTCTGCTCTAAACCTCAACTTCATCAAGTTTCTGCTGCAACAGAGTTTCTTAGCTTAGGTATTTCTCATCATAGTATTCGCGATGCCAGCAGATTTTTAAAATTCTTCATTTTTTATGGCTAAGTTATTAGGAGTAATATTGTTAAGTAACTTACTGTTACAAAAACCAGTGAGTCTATTCTTTGTTCCTTATTATTTCAATCAATTAAGTAAAATAAAACAAAAGTATTCGTCTAAGAAAAGAATCACTGATAATCAATAAAGGGAATATAAATGATGATACGATTAATATCATCAATCAGTATGTTTTTTTTTTTTGTTAAATTAAGCAGTTCCATACTATTTCTTTCTCTCTTCATTCCTTTTCTGTCACTGATAATCCTTGAAGCATAATAAACATCAGTCATATGCCAAACTAACTTATAATATCTCTTAGGACTCTGGCTTCTTTTTTACTGTACTATTATATTCTGGCAAATATTCCCAATTATTGTGCTTTTTTTTTTTTTTTTTCACAACTTTGCAAGTGTACTGATCACAGTTGGCTCTATTCTTTTAAGGCCTGAGTGAGTGAAACGATATCTACGTTCCACCGATCCTCTATATATCTGAGACATAAACAGTTCAGTGTTTGGCTTCTTCAAAAATAGGTTAAGCAAATCATCCTCTCCTTAGCATTTCCAGTCACCGATCTGATTTTTCTTTCCATTTTATTTCTCTAAATTTATGATTGTCTTTTGTAGAATCTATCCGATAAAATTTGACGCCATTCTATCTTTTCATTTTCAAAAAGATTTTTAAAGGTTTTTTCTCCTTTCCCTTAAATATTTTGACTTCCATCATAGTTTCGTACACTTCACAGCATTCGCATTCTAGTTGCTTTTGTTCATGCTAGTTAGCCAAAAAGCTTCTCTATTGCTATCATGATAGATTATATCTCAAATCATCCCATTTGTACCAGTTTATTTCATAGAGTATCAAAGTACCCTTTGCTCTCTTTCATTTTTTGCACGTATGATTTAAAAAAAAAAAAAAAAAAAGAATGAGATGAGAGTTCGAAAATTTATCATCCAGCAATTTAAGATGATTTACAGCATAAACAACAAAGTGACGTAAACAATAACAGCAGATCCTGAAGCAAGGTCAACTAGCAACAGCCCACCGCACACGTGCGTAATACTGATTGCTCCTCCCGATTCAAAATGGTTAAATCATTGTTCAATATTTGTTTGGCAGCTACGTGCCAGCATAACTTATATGGATATTTGGCTGATTTGCCAACATCTTGTAAACAACGTTTGCTCGAATTCTTTAGCTCACATGACCAGGTATTACATTATCCCAGTTGTAATTATTAAAAATGTCAATCCCTGGATATTTTATCCATAGAAAAATAAAAATGTTCAAAAATATGTTCCAGGAGTTGTACGATGAATTTAGACAGTGAATTTAAGTATATTTGCATCTCTTCAAAAAACTCAGCATAATAAGCCTCAGAATACTTGTATCCACTACACAAAAACTGATTGTAATGCTAATTGAATGATTTGAACAATCGTTTGTTTTATTAGGAAGTTGTTTTTATCACTAGATTAGAGAAAGGAAGACAGTAATCACCACACTATTTTTCCATTTAAAGAATATATATACATTTTCTTAAACCTTGATCAAGTCATTTCATATGAATTAAATCTCATTTTCAGTTATTTCTATCAGAATGCGCTCAACTTGTATCATCACCTTCATTTGGAAGAAATCTTACGGAATTACGTTTTTATCTGAGCGATCAAGTGACTGATAGTGTTCTGGAAGCCATTGCGGCTCATAATCGTGCACTTCAACAAATTGCAATTATTTTTTGTCAAAACATCACTGACAAGTTAACGACTCTATTTTCTCGAAGTTTATTTAAAGTTTCAATTTAGTGAATTTTCATAGGAATGGTATTATCTATTCATGTTGTGCACAATTAATGTTATAGGAATGATATTATTTGAAAAATATCTTTAGGCTTCAAAATTTGTTACATCTTAATTTGACGGATTTCAATTTCAACTGGAAACATTTAGTTACATTTGTTGATAAAAGACCTAGATAGAAGATCTCGAAATCCATTTTAGGGTATTCGTGCAATAACAAGTGGACAACGAAAAATCGAGAAATTAGAATTTAGAGCTTTGAAGAAGCTTACATCAAATGGTTTATCACTGATAAAGTCAAATTTCTTACACACAGTCGACCTAAGCTCTTGCATCAAGGTCGAATAAAATACTTGTTATCAAACTGTTGTCAATCTAAGTTTGGTTTATGTACAATTCACCACTGTGGGGTGGTGTTGGTGTAGTGGTTTGGGAGTGTCGTGCTGCGCAACAGTTCGGCAGTTCGTCTCTTCAGAGCCCTGTGAAGAAATACAAGATGACGAGTCTGAGTTTGTACGATGCGGGGTGCAGTTATTGCACCTTGCCGTGCCTAGTCATGATGTCTAGAGGCATTTGTCCGAGGGCACTAGGTGATTGTCGTCATTATCATCGTAAGGTTTCAATGGAAGATGGAGAAGTTGGTGTGTGATTGAGGGTTTGGTTGTTTGTGTGTTACGTTTCGCATTTTGACATATTTTATAGTTTGGATGTCATTTGCAATATTTTTTGCTCTTTTATGAAGTCTGTCAATTTCATATTTTCAATTCAGATCAAAAGCGATGGGATCTATCAGCTTGTTTATTTAAATCGTAACATTCACTGTTTGTATTTGAATAGCTGCAGAGGTTAGTCCTTTCAAAAAAAGAAAAAACTTATGCATTTTATTTTAACATTCTTTCGATATCATCTCGAAATCTAATACTTCTACATCATGTTTCATAAATGTTCGATTTAATTCAGTCTTTTAACTGCTGTTTTTGTGAACTGATTGAATTCTGTTGCCGAAATTTAGGTCTAAATGATCAAGCACTTTATGATATCGCACACTACCTCGGAGAAAAATTATCTGTTTTGGAGTTGGATTTTTTACCAAATGTAATCGATCCATCTTCTGCTCTATTTTATTTGAGTCGTAATTGTCCAAACATTAAGCAGTTATCGCTTTGTCGTTTTTTCGAGGTATTCTTTTGAGGAATTTATTATCCACTTTGGAAATTGGGTACATCTGCATTAAAAATAAAAATTTAATACTGAGTGACCTTTTTAAAAGCGCTTTTTATTTAGGTAGGGAGAGAGCTTACACTAATGCCTGAATACAGAATTGCTGGTGTAGGACTGCGTGATGTTGATTTACATGGTTTGTTTTATTTTCTTTTATCTTGAACATCCATTTCCACCTCTCTATTCATTTTTTTTTCTTGCTTTTAGCATTCTCTTGCATTCTGATGTAGTTAACGAAATCGTTAGTAGCTACTCCTGATATTTATCCAGCGATTGCTGCAGATTTTGTCTGGGAAAAAGGCTGCTTCATTTTCCACACATATACATTCATTTATGTGTATCCACTTTAGTTGTTATCAGATTTACCCGGAACGAAATCTATTGAATGATTACTATTAGACTGTAATTCAAATTATCACTTGTTTTAGGCAACTATTTTTTCACTTTACCTCTCTTACCACCAACGGTAAACAGAATACGGTTGTCAGTATGCGGCGATGAGGACGTGAATAGTTTAATTGATCGTTTGGAGATGTTACCTCAACTGACGAGTATTCATCTACAGATGAACTGCAAGGAACCAAGCTGGGTGAGGATTTAACCATTTTCTTTACACCTTGTTTGGTCCAGTTATCCTGAAATCCTGTCATCTAGAAATGGCTGCCCTGCGAGCTATTGCTGCTCACAAATATCCATGATTTAACCACTTTGCTACTAGTTTCTTCTGCCTTCCTTGCACTTCCTTTTTCATAGGGAATTTCTTGGTATGATTTTGAATGTTTGGAGTCATTTCCTTGTCCAAATCGAGTACCATGTATAAAAAGCACTTTTCATGAGGCGGAAGAGGTAAATTTTATCGTCCCACTTTGTAAGTATAACAATCATAAATACTATTAAACTTTTAGCGATTTTCACTTAATTTTAGCGATGTGTAGAAGATGCTAATTCATTTCTACGTTCTATCTTGCCGTATATTGGAAGCAAAATAACGCGGCTTCATGTTAGCTTTTAAATTTTCAATTGTTCTGTAACTTTGAGAAACTGATACCGATTTCTATAGACAGCATCATTTTCGTCCTCAGTTCCCTAATTTTTTACCCAAATCCTCCTTTAGTTTATTTTTTGGGTTTCGGATAATCGTGAGGAAAAGCGTATTTGTTTTTACTGTTAATTTTTAGATATCGCTGCCAACGATTATTGATGGTGTCTTCAGTTTGATAACACAGTGTCTACCAAATTTAAGTCATTTGGCACTTGACGTCAAGCACATCAACAACAAACTACTGCGGTTATTCTTTACTGGTTTGCATTTCGATCTCCAGATTTTTTGGACATTTTGAACAGAGGAACTAAGTATTGAATCCAGCAGAAAGCAGATGTAATCTTAGAAGAAATCTAATAAAAATTTAATAAAAACTATCTAATAAAAACTTTTAAAAGCTATGACAAATATTCTAGGTGGAATTCATTCGCCAGGTTCAAGATTGCGATCGCTGAAACTTTGCCGTCTTCGAACAACTTACAGAGCTTTGTTTGCGATTGCGCGTGGCGCACATTCAATCACGGTACATGAAACTTAAATTTTCTAACCTGCTTCCTCTAAATATTTCTTTTTATTAGGTTTAAGTCAATCCAGCATTACCACTTTTCCATTTCGTCAAGCCTTTCTTCTCGTGTATATACCACAGATCGTTTCTTTTGACTTAGATTCAGAATAAACTTAAGAAATTAAGCTTAACTATAAAAGTAGCGCCATCATCAAAAGCCGTTTTTGTTAATCCAAGATATTTTTGAATATTTCAGGACTTAGAGGTGTCGCACATCCCTTGTGTTGATGATCGCTTCTTGGCTTTATTAGCAGATAATTGCATGGGTTTGAAAAATATTAATTTGAATGGTTGTAGATATGTCACCGACAAAGGACTTGCTGCCTTGGCGCGGTGAACTTTATTTAGTTCATAAATTCCATTCCCTTCATTTGCACAAGCTCAAAAAATATTTTCTAAAATGACGTAATGAAATTATACACTGGAAACTTCTATTTCCCTCATTTTTATGAATTTGCATTCATTATTAAATAAAAATACAAAAAACATGCTTCTTATTGAATTTCCATCAGAAGTTTGAATAGTAAAGACATCCAGTATATTATTCGATAGGTGCAATCAAAAGTTATGTTTCAGGAAGTGTTGTTTAAAGGAAGTGCGAATTCGTGCAACGTCATGTACAGACAAGTCAATATATTTGCTGGCGCAGTTTTGTCCTGACCTTGAATGGATATCACACGCTGATTTTAGTGGACGTCCAAAGTTCAGTGATAAAGCATTACAGTGTCTCAAAGATTCCTGTGTGCAAAGGGTTATTTGTTGAATAAAGGAAACAAACTTATTTGTTCCTGCGTGTGAAGAATACGGCGAATTACTTTCCTACTATAACTTAGAAGTTAAAGGAAATAGATTTTTGTAATAAATTTCTCAGAATGAAATAGCTGAACCACATACTCCTCGACTGGAAGAGAATAAAGAGGATTTTTTCTTTTCACCTTGCGTAGTTAATTTTAAACAGTATGATTCCAAGGAATTATCTATCGCAACTTTTCTCATGCATGCAGATACCTTTCATAAATTGTAACTCCGCTCAAGCGAACTCTGAGTACAAAAATATGTTACCAATAGTTTACACCTATAGACTACATTTCCAAATAACCAACCTCTTATCTCTCTTCTTCACACAGATAAACTCCAAGAATTGTCTCAAACTACAATCCGTTTTCCCTTTCATTTTGATTTCGTAATTTATGATGCGGAAGTGATACCATGTCGGGATCAAATCATTCTTCACAGACCTTTATAAGTTAATTTACTGAAGAAAAAGCCATGTCCGAAAATATTCAAAATTTAAATAGGAATCCGGCGGTTTGCAATTAAAATATACTGCTAGGATCGGAGGGAGGGAATATATCTCATTTTGTTATATGGAATAAGACATCATATTAGTTTTTTTAAGTCGCTTCGGACAACAGCACACAGCTTATCATATAAAAAGTTTTAGAAGTTGTAAAGGAACCAGTGATTAGAAGAGGAATATAATCAAAAGTAATAATCTGTGGTCGCCGAAACATAAATATCAAAAAAGCAGAAAAGCCTGCAGAGTAAAATCACTAATACTTCAGAGAATTACTGCGGAGGCTGCGTGCCATTTTCATGCGGTCCATTCCTATCGCTTTCATTGCTAGGACCTCCTAGGAAATAATTCTGTAGATAATTTTTTAGATTTTGTTCAGCTTAGATTCATTTAAATAGAAATCATTTTTTTTTTTAATCATTTAAAAATTTCATTTAAATTAAATGCAATTAAAATATACTGCTAGGATCGGAGGGAAAAAATCTATTTATCTCATTTTGTTATACGGAACAAGACATCATAATAGTTTTTTTAAGTCGCTTCGGACATTTTTTTAATTAAAAGCGATACTTGCATCTCACATAGAAAAACGAAATGCTGTCCAAAAAGTGCTGAGTAAAAGCTGAAATAGTAACTAATAGCAGTCTGCTTCTTAACTAGATATAAACAGTGAAATATAAAACCACCTTGGCCCTGGAACTGCTGTCTCAGCTGTTCAACCAAATCTGGATTAGCACTTTGCATTTGCTGAGCTAACTGAAAGTAGACAAAAATAGTAACGCACTTCATATCCTCGAAATAACATACACAAGTTTCTAAAGCCTATTTACTTTAATCAAATTTGTAGTCAGTGTAAACAAAAACAACCTGTTGGCCGGCTTCTATAAGATTAGAAACGCCAGCATTTGATCCACTGCCGAGAATACCAGTCATCATCTGTGACATCATATTCTGAATGTTAGGATCAGACATCAGTTGTCTGGCCATGTTCATCATCGCTGGATTATTCAGCAGTGCAGTCATGTCAGGCATCTGAGAACCAAACAGCTGAAACAAAAAAATCTTTATAGAGATTGCCAAATTTGAATTAAATCACTCGAAAATATGACAAAACCTACCCCAGGACCTTGCCCCTGCCTGAATGATTCCTCTAGTTCTTTCAGCTTATCTTCAGCAATTTTCAGATTATTTTTGTAGCTTTCCTGTTCCGGATCCAATTCTAGTGCTTTTTTATATGCTTCTACAGCTTGCTCATAACGATTCTGGCAAGACAATGCCAACCTAAAAAAGTACGCGAAATTACGCAACCGTTCATATTCGAATTGTGATGAAAAAATATTGGCTTAACAAAACACGCTAAATTTTACCCCATTCGTCCATAAGCTTTGCTATATTTTGGATCCAAGGCCAGTGCAGCACGACAATCCTGTATTGCCAAATCATACTGTTCTAGCCGACAGTAAGCTGCTGCTCTCAAATGCATGATAAACTCTTTAAACGAAAAACATATTTTGAGTAATACACTTATAAAAAACTTAAGGGCTGTCAGTTTATAGCATGTTTTCCTAAAATAAGTTTTTCAATGCTTTGTCTTCTTCCAAAGTTTTTTCCAGATACTTGAAAACTTCCCAGCAATTATGTCAACTAGGCTAATAAGTTCCGTCTATTTTACAGACAATATATCAGGACTTCTAGATCTACCGATTGCAAAAATAAGCCGGATCTTTGTTCAGCTTGATAGCTTCATTGTACTTTAACACGGCATTTTCAAATTGCGAAGATTTCATTAATGTATTCCCTTCTTCTTTTAAATTATTCGCTATTTTGATTTCTTCTGCAGTTGGTTTCGGAAAATCATCAACACCCTGAAACTTCGATGTACCACACTTTTTTTGTTAATGCCTGCTTCAAAAGAATCTAGCTTAGTCACTTAGGACCACACCTTTTTTGTGCTGTGTACAAAGACTGACATACATACAGTTGAAAAATCAGTTGCGCTGCATTTAGCAAATCCTAATGACTCTTTTTTTTTTGCGATAGTTAGTTGATTTTAAAATGAAGCATACGGCAGGAAGACCCTCAGCTGCAACGAAAATATCCAGAAGAGGTTTTGATGGTTGAAACAAGTAACTGGAATCCGTTAAATCAAATGCTGTTTCAAGGCACTGAATAGCCACTGAAAAAAATTTTTTTATAAAATTTGATTAATATTAATAAAATACGCAATAAATTAATTCTTTCAAGCTTGAAATAACTCATGGATGATATGCAACAATTTTGTAATTTTACAGAAGTAAAAGCAGGGATGCAATGAATACGGATGTTCCGGAAGCAATCACGAGTTTTACTACAAAGCTACTACTTGTCCTAGACATATTAACAATCGCATCAGTGAGATAAACCATAGTGAAGTACAACAACGACAATAACCTTCAATTCCTTCAACCTGATCAGTTGTGCACTGTTCACGCGAAATCCGCTGGCGCAAGAATTGAATGAATGAAACGACGAGATTCTTTTCATCACTGATATCTTGCTTTTTATGACTCGATTCCGGATTGCTGAATGTTGTATCAGCTGAGTCATTCATTGTCTTAGTTTTTCCTCACGCACTCTATACTCACCAAAATCTGAAAGCATTTCTTATACAGCTTACAATTTTAGAGAAGCTGAAAACGATATCTTTTAAAGTCTAAATATCATACACGTAATGCATCGAAAGTCTCCACTGATTTGCATACTGTGTCCTTAGACAGGAATACGAAAGCCAATAAAATTCTCTAAAAGGTTTTGCAGATCACGTTTGAATCAACCGCAGAATCTATTCACGTCGGAAAAAACTGATCTAAGAAAAACAGGACAAGGATATACAGATTTATGAGCCAAAAGGAACGTGTGAACACGTAACCACAAGCCACATAAATCACACATAATCGTGAGCCTATGAATTGAACTCAACCCGCCCACATTCTCAGAAGAACTAATGAAGAACTGACGTTGAATGCAATTGGCACGTCCCACAAGTGGACAGGAAGAGACTTCGGGGTTGCTTTCAGTCAAGTGAACAAGGCGATTTGGGATTTCTCGGGAAGATGAGCCTCTCTCTCTCTTGAAATCACTAGAAAAATTCTGTTTGTGGAAAAGAAACACCTTCATGGGATACGCGCTGACTCGGCATATTGCATTCAGTAAATGTATTAAAGTGATGGTAACATTGTATCTGCCCTTTTCACAAGCCAAAAAATTTCAATAAGTTAGAGATTCCGTACATAAACTCAGTATTTGTCAGAAATCTACCTATCGTTATACATGTTTTACATGAAAAGAGCCCAAAATACAGGAAAGTACTCAATTGTAGCATGAACTTCAATTTATGACCTGATCTGAAGAGAGTTATTTATAAAAGTTTATAATGGGAACGATATCTCTATCTCTTGTAACTTGCTTCTGCAGCAGAAAAATGGAACAGAATAGTCGTTTTTAGAAATCCTACAAAAAATTTGTGGATCAATTGGTTATAAAATCTAACAACCATATCTCTGTTTGTGACTTCCGTAACATCATTATTCAAAAAATCCAAAAGAAATGGTTTCTATATGATCATTTTATCCATAAGCAATAATAATTTAAATTTTTTAATAATACAAGATGTACATCAAAGGAAACGACATTGGGATTAATTATTGCATAAATGATTGAAAATGAATGACAAAAAATCTACATATACACACATATATATATCTACAACTAAATCATCACACCACGAAATTCAAAAAATTGATCAAAATATCAAATGTAATTTACTAGCAGGGTACTAAGTCATGCAATGATGTAGTATACAATACGTCATTAAAATGAATTTAGTTATCTCAATCGGTTTTTGTGCAATACTGCGCGCTTATTTACAGCGTTAAAGTAAATGATTGAATTCTGTTCATTATTGGCTTTACCGCTAGCCTATTAGCACAAACAAAGAATTAGATCATACTGTCGCTGTACAGCTATATTTAATGTCTTATGTTTTCATTTGGAGATTCTATACACTGAAGCTGGGAATTTGACTTATGTGGGGAACAAAAGATGCAGTTAATTGATGCGAATTCTTCTTCGGACTTCCCACAAAAAAATTATTCACTTCCTTTCTCACATTACAAAATTTTTAAATAAAAATCTTCTAAGATGACATTAAAAAACATACGATTCAGGTAATTTGAGTTCGAAAATACTTTTCGGTTTATTGTAACATCCATATTCATTCATACGATTTGCATCGTCATTTCGTTGAAGTAATCGTTTCACAGTTCGCGATAAGTCAACTTCTTCACGTTCCTGATGCATTTCTTCTACAAGTTGATTGAAGTCCTGAGTGCGAAACTTATCCAGAATCCTTTGTGTCCGTTTCTATAAAAGAACCATATTGAAGTCAGGTTTAGTCAACAGTAGTAATTTTCCAAGTACTCATGTTAACAGTATTCATATTTGCAATTCCCTTTAACCAATAAAAGTTACTACAAAGTTGCTTATGTTTTTTACGGCAATGAACATGCCTCCACTTTTTTATTAATGTGACACTATGAACGATAGGTCAAAAAAAAAAAATCACAAAACCCGAAAAACACACAAACAAATCATATAAACCTGTTCTTTTTTTTCTTCTTCACTCTGGTCAATTAACGTATTCGTTCTCTTGCGCAATTCACTAACAGTCGTCGGAGGAAGATCAGATTCTGCAATATAGTGTTTTAAAGTTAAAGAAATAACTTCAATGAATCTTGCAGATAGAAATTCTTACTTTCTCGTGCTGGTGAAAAGATTGTATTTTTTCGAGAAGTCTGTATAGATTCAGATGGACTCCAATCAATGCTCATATCAACGGAGACTGTGTTTTCATCAATTCCACTATTATCTATTCCATCAACATTATTCATTTTTTCGGCTTCTATGAATGGCCAATCTCTATTTACTTCCATGTCACCAGATATTGATGACGCTAGTGCTACGCCTTTTGAAACAAATGCTACTGTCAAGTTCTTCACATCCTTACCGGTAGCCTAAAATAACGCAAGCAACAAGAAGTCAGTAGCAATCCAAAGTACGTTTTCAAAGCTTTATGTATACAAAAATTAAAAGGTCGTGACACCCGTTATTCACACAACTGAAAATACCGAACATATCTTGCGAACAATTCAAATATACATTTACCACCTTAAGCATTTCGCTGACGTCATCGATATCGAAAAGAATTGTTGCATCCTCTTCAAGACAAAGCGCCGCTTGTTCTTCATCGTCATCACTTGCAAGTGGAGCCTTTTTAGGACTTTTTTTGTCAGACTGGAATTCCGACAAAAGATTTAGCAACGGGTGGGCTCGTAACGCCCGTTGCTTTACAATCTAAATCAGTGATTTCTTTAATTACTTCTTGAATTTTCATCTTAAAATTAAAGTTTGGGGGCAAAACAAAATTATAACTGTCCTTAAGATTTCTTCCGAAAAATTTATGCACCTAAAAAAAGACTCTATGTTCTCAACAATCCTACATATCGTGTCCCTTCCACACCTGAAGCATATGCATATTCACTCCGTATTTTTGAAAGGGAATGAAAAACAACATGAATTCATCATATACGGAATATCTTTAATCGAAAAAAATATTTTTCTTCTTTCACTAATTCATAAATTAGATCTAAACTCTACAATAGTATATTACCTGTTGAACATGTTGACAAAGAGATGGTATGGCCATAAGCTGACTGCTGAAGTTAAGATATTTTGCCACCAAATTATGAATAGCTATACGCTTTGCACCATTAAAACGAAATGACGATTCCAGTGCCATTGATTGTAGAGCAAAAGACAACCGGAATAACTGTATCAACATCTAAAATGTTAATATCCACTTTTCCATTATATACAGTGTAATTTTGCTAACAAAAACAGCGATCGTTAAGACACCCAACAAAAACGAGTTTATGACATATTTTTTTCATAACCGTAGAGCGAAAATAATTAAGAGTGAACTTACTTCGTCAAAACCAACTTCAATGCATAATAAAGCCATCGTGCAAAGGATTGCATCCATATGTTCTCTTTGTGTCTCATCTTCCGGCACCATCCAAACACATCTACAAGCTTTCCGGTGGTAAAAAAAGTTTGAAGTTCTCGAATTTTTTCCATGCCAAGTCATAAATATAATGTAACAGAATCAAACGACTCGAAAATCTGGAATATAGATTACCTACATACTTACTTATGAAGAGCATTAAGTAAATGCGGCGCATAGTTTCGCATAATCATTTCATCCGACCGACTACATTTTTCAAAGGTTAACTGCAAATCAGTGACATCGTTGACGTAAGGTAAGTGCCGTAACACTGACAAATTATCATGCCTGCAAGAAGTCGAAGAAACTGCAAAAGCTTCTTACAGATATTACGGGGCATGAAGATATCCACAATTTGTATTTTGCATTCAGAATTTGCAAGAAATGAATTATATTTGAATTCAGTCATTTAAATAATTTAAAGAATAAACAGACAATAAAAATAAGATATAAACCTGTCAAGTAAGGTATGGAAAATGCACTGCGTATCTAAACGAACGACAGGATCACCAGTCAAAGCTAATCGCAGTAGTGTGTTTGGGAAATTATTGCTAAATATCGTTGACATGAAACCTGTTCGATATTTCGTTGCCACCTAAAAATCAGACTTTATAAGTGTTTAATTTGTGTTTAATTTGAAATTCACATTACTGGAATGATTTGAAAATGAAAAGTTTACAAAATAACCCTGAGACGATACAAACTGTACAATAAAATTAAATTGAACTTCAAGCATTAAAACTGAAAGACACACCTTTAAAAGTGTTTTTACAAGTATATGCTGCAAGAAAGTATCACTAGGTTTTAGTGACTGATTGTCTTTTCCAAGATTTGGTATGTTAGCGGATATAAAAAGCATAATTTCGACCTAAAAACTGAAACTGAGTAAAGCATTCATTATGTGTTCTCAACAAAAATTTTCAATATTCGACAACATTCTGGATTTAAAATTAATTCGTAGCACACTATGAAAAACAACATTTGCAAAGTTGCAAAGAAACATAATATGAATATGTAAAGAAAAAATTATATTATAGGATGAAACAAGACAAATGAAATTTCGTGAGACCCACTGCAAACAGACGTTTTTTACAAGTTATATAACACCGGATTACCTTCTGGTAATCAGGTAATGCATATGCATAGTCACCCATAGCATTAATTAAAGATTCTTGGTATATTTTTTCTTGATCAATTGATGGGCATTCTACGGTTTGTTGAAATTCAACAGATCGACGTAGATGTTTCAGTAAAGAATTGAATATACCTGAAATGAAATACGAAAATTACAACTTACACAATATCTAAGACTTACCTTATTTATGGTTACTTAAACTTTCTCATTTCTCTATTAATGATCCTAATCTCAAACGTGTCATAGATTCGAATCATGATATGGAAAAATTTTACGTTAGATGAACACTAAATATATGCCCTGTGATTGGTAAGTTTGGAAGTAATATCAACTTCTGACTACTGATTGTCATAGGTAAAAAAGTTCCTTCTATTTATCTCCATTTAGCAAAAAAAATTTAATCCTCAGCTTTCACCCAAACGGATAGCCGGGAAACTGTTAATGCATTTGCTTTGGCCACCCCACTATTTAGCACTGTTTAACTCTCTTTTACTATAGGCCAAAAACCACTTTACTTATTAAAAACTTCTTTTGAATTTTAAAGTTATCGACTCCAAATAATCTTCTTAATCTTAAAAAAAAAGATGCAAAAAATTCCAAAAGACGAAAATATCAACTTACCAACGTAAAGGCTATGTTTAAAGTTTGCACTAACCTATTAAAGATGGTCCGATACTGGTACCGGCAATGGAAACAATACTTGATAAAACCATTGCAATACCAATGCGTACAGATGCATTCGAATTTGACATATTCTCCAAATGAGTTATTAAAGCCTAAAAATATTAAAACAAAAAACTGTAAAAATTATTCAGTGTGTATAAGATCAAAAAGGAATCAAGAGAACAAACAGATATAAGTTACCGATAATCAACAAATGAACCCAATTAACGTCTGAAACAAATTAACTGCACCTGAAACGAATTAACTAATTTTGAAATGCAAAAAATGCAAAAACTAAAAAAAATTTTTGAAAAATCACTTGGATGACAAAACTCGGGTCTTTCACGCTATACATAATTGCACGGAATGTGTAAACCGCGAATATAGGTGGAGGCTCCCACTTCGTATGTAAATCACAGTGTTTCAGAACCGGGTCCAGAACAGAAACCAAACCAAAAGGTGCTTTTGCCATCAATTCTCTACAAGATTTCAAATGAAAATTTCGAAAAATGATTTCTTCTTAACTTCATTTAGTAACATATGAATTAAATACTTTACTGATGTTTTACTATATGCATTGCGAATTTTGGATGTAAAAACCAATTTTTCTGCACCATTATAGTCAAATGAAATATCAAATTGTTCAATAAGACGCATTAAGAACTGAATATGAATAAAGCATGGTTTATAAATATATTAAAAATACCGTAGGAACTGATCAGCAAGCGCTTTCGGGTTTTCCGCTACGCCATCCACTGCATAGGGCTGGTCAATTACTGAGAAGTGATTATTCCGTTTTTCCCTTGACTCTTCTAAAACAGTAAAACAAGCAACTGACAACACTGAATCCTCACAATCTCTACATGTTTCACCATTATCTACCACTACCTACGTGAAAGAATGCAGATAAGATTGTGAAGTTTGGAAAACTATGATTTTGCTAGACTTTTACAATTCCCGTAAGTCTCTAATAAGATCATCAAAGATTTTTCCAAATATCAAGAATGCTATCTAAAGTCAATAAAAGCAGCTAGTATGAAATTATATGAAAATACCATAATCCTCTTCTTGAAGATTAAAAAGAATCGAAGGAATGATTTTGTCCATATATTGCCTTTCCCATATACTAGTTTGCAATGGATCGGTTGTTAACTTCCACATAACACCTAAAATAAACTCAAAAACTAAAGATAAATCAAAAAATTTCAAAACCTTTGATTCAGTTGGATGTCACCCTTCCTTACTTAACAAAACTACTAAAATTAAGTTAAATTAAACTACCTCTTAAGCCACGTAAACCTGCATACCGCGCATCTTTTGAAGTTTCGCTATTATTTGCATAACACATTGATGCAAATTTAGAAATAAAGAAGTCGTATTCCCGATGATAAGCAGGAGTGTTTTCTTCGATGTTTGCGAAATTCACAAATGAATCTGTAGCCAGTTTCTAGAAAATTCAGAAGCTAGATTTCATAAATTTTAAAAAAATCCTCAAAAGATATTTTCATAATTCTCATTCTACCATAAACTTTCACAATTCAAAAAAGTTCTTATAAACCAGAGGGAAAGTACCATAAACATACACTGTTAGCAAAAATAAAAAATTTAACCTCCATTTGGAAATGATTCGTTTCCAACAACTTCTGCAGCATTTTGAGGAAGTGTTCGATGAACTTATTTAGACTCGATAAATCGTGACAACTCTGCAGAAGTTGATCCATCGCTTCTATGGATATCTGAACTCAACATTTTAAGTTCAAGAAATTTTTTTTAAATTTAGCTTCACTTCTTCGTACTAAAAAATCGACTAGGAAGTTCGCTTGACTTAATGCCTTAAAATATTACACTACAAAAAAATCTCCAGCAATTTTTGCTGCAAAGTTTATTTATAAAAGGTAGAATGGAAAAATATGTTAAACACATTTGGCACGGCTTGGTAATATCAAGTGTTTATCACAGTGGTAACTTCTGAAGTAGATGTACTTGCCAAAATACTTGCATTTTTCCTTCAAGGAATGAAAATAAAAACAAAATACCAAATAAGGTATACCTTAACTTGGTTATATTTTTGGTGATATAGATCTCTGGACAACCGCGAAACAATGTATCCACCAATTCTATCCAACTTTTCGGGTCTTGATATTGCATAAAATGTTAGCTTTTGCATATTCGAATTGATCAAGCCTTCAGTTAACGAGCTAAAAAATTTATAGAGAACTATATACACTGTTTATCCAAAGTTGATAGCAGCAAAAAATTGTTGAAACAAGTATTCAAATCAACAAATGTAGCTTTCTGATGGTCTCATTCTAATATTACAGTATATTTCAGAACTTCAAATAACCACCTCGGATAAATGGCGTCGACGAGTCGTCGATACCGTGGTTTGCATGGAGCGCAACAACACATAAAGGTATCCATCAGTAAATTTAAAGGAACATGTGCAGAAACTGGATAAACCTAGAATCAGTAATTTTCGGAGAATTTTTCAGGGGAAATTCGATATCACTAGAAAAATTCCTGAAGAAGTCACTGATTTCAATTACAAGTGTGACAAACCTTTTCACACGAATCTAATATCGGAGTTATGACTGTGTTATCATAAGCTTTTTTTTTTTTGATTTCTCTCTCTCTCTTTCTCTAACACTTCTGATTCTCCTTTACGGTGTTTGTAACTACTACAAAAAATGAGGAAGTTTGCAAGGCAGACTATTCAAAAAATAAAAAACAGCCTTCCTTCTCAGATATGATGAAACAGAGAGACTCGACAATGAAAAGTATAGAACTACGACAGTTAATTGGATTTGCAGAAGTTTTAACAGCAATAAAAAAGGAAGGGTGAAACAAGACACGAAAGACATGAGCTGACACTAAATTTCCAACCAAACACTTATGTGTTTTCATTTTCATTTTCATTCCATTTTCATTTTTATCTATTTCCATTACAAAACAGATTAAAAGAAAAGTTAAAATCTGCCACAATTCATCAAAATATTCTCCTGTAATTTTTATGAACCCTGTCATCTCTGTATTCTTGCTTCTTAATTTCTTTTCCCTCTTAATTCAAACAATTTCTCCAAAATATAAAAAAACTTTCTCGAGATCATCTGAAAAGTCCAGATGCAATCTAACAACACAACATACAAGACAGTCACGAATAGTCAAATCACCTCCCACTCATATCATGAGAAACCGGTACACACAATTCTCGCATTTGTATAAACTGCTTAATGCCGAATACACCAGTTGGCTGCAGTTTCGTTTCTGGTGGGTACTTTATTTCAGATTCTTTTTAAATCTATTTCAAGGGAAAAGAATGCATTTCCATATACTTGGCGGATTAAATAATTAATCAGTGCTGTGTTGTATCCAGTATTGTTCATAAAATTAGTATCAAATTAACTATTTAATAAATCAATTTAATTAGTTACTTTACTTGTCGTTATCATTTTTCTTTGATTATTTTTATTTTTATTTAAAAAAAGTTTTTTCTAAAATTAAAAAAAGGAACATTTTTCTCTCTATGTCTCTTTATATTTCAGGTTATTACCTTACTGATAATTTGTTGCTGATAATTCGTATATATTTGCTGTGAATGAATGATAGCTTAAGGAGCCGACGTTTTTGTTGGCATAAATAGCGTGCCCTGCAATATCCGATGTGACTCTGCAGAGAGTTGGGAAGAAATTTTCTGTTTTTATAATTTCATAGATCGAAAATTTTTATCAGGTAAGTTGATTTCCACCAGTTTTCTATTGCGTTGAGCTAAATATAAATTTGAAAATGGTTCAGTTGACGAGGAACGAGAAAATTGTTTGGTTCAGAAACTGGTTTAGGAATCTTTATGGTCCATCTTCATTAACAATAGCCAATAAATATTAAAATAGGAGAGTCATTTCTTGTGCAACGAAACAAATGCATTATAAACAAGTCTGACATGAAGAACAAACATACTTTTTTCTTTTTTCACAATTACCTTTAATATTTTATGCTTGAAAATGTAGTCAAATAATGAGAAATTGTTAAAAAATGCGGTATATCAAATAGAAAGCAAACATTTTTGTTCAATTATTTCTCACATTTTTGTTCAATTATTTCTCAAATTAAACAAATAAAGCATTGAAGGATTATTATAGGTATATGGAAGATTTTGGAGAAGTAAGCGCTGATATGCTTGTATGAAAAAACGTTGACTATGGAGTCGCACTGAAATTACCTTTGCTAACAAATTCATAAAGAATAAACATAAAGGATTTTAAACTTGTGAAATGATTGTCAATTGACTATATATTTCTCAGTGATAAAATCAATGTTTCCGAACGGGAAGCTATATAAATCCTCGAACGAGGAAACTATATAAAAATCAATTTCCGAAATGGTGAAGGACTCAAAGTATATTATAGATATAGAGTACTATAAATTATTACCCATTTTGATGATCATTTTTGAAATAAGGTGTTTATAGCTATTGTTTATTTGCTATTCGTTTATTTCTTTTATGACTTCTGTACTAGGAATAGACTGCTATATATACCTGAATATAATTGAATTGAGAACAATCAGGATTTAAAGTATATTTGTTTTTAAACAAATTTTTTGAAAAAATGCAGCTGAAAAAGTTAAGAAAAACAGTTGCAATTTGAAGGATTTATAAAATAACTATTGCTTGACATGACAGTTTTTTTTTTGGTAGAAAAAACAGCGAGATAAATATATTATGTTGGAATATTTTGTGGGGATAGAGATTTTGAAGAATATATTTTTATATTATTATGGGTGTTTATCTAAATTTCAGCAATTATTGAGATCTTGAATTTGTTGATAGATGCAAATATCTAGACGATAATCAGCAACCATAATCATCTTTTCTTTTCTTCAAGAAGTATGACTTTTTTTTTGCTAACTTGCTTTTAAACCTATTACATCTAAAAAGAAGCTAGTTTTCTTGCTCGAACATAGACGCTGTTGTCTGTTTTTAGTCAAAAACGTTTCTACAATTTTAGGAAACGAAATAAACAGTCGAAAATATTGCATATAAGTGATGCGAAAGTTGTCTGAAAAAGTTACAACAGATGCAGAAATTAGTTGTTCACTTGAACGAGCTCTTAATGCTCGAGGACAAAACTTGGAAAATACTGAAAAAATTATCGATTATCTCAATAACTTGTGCACTATGCTTGCTAATGTCGAAGACCTTCATAACCGGATCGGATTCTATCACTCTCTTTGCAAAAGATATGTTTTCAACTTTCAAATTGACACAGATTTTGAACGTTTATGGAGATGTGTGACTCAGTAGCAAGGAAATGACAGATTATTTAGCATATATATATATATATATATATATGCTAATGGTGATAAAAGTAATCAGTTTTTGTTACAAGATTGCTAAGTATGTGTTATGGGAAGCAAGTTCGGTCCGCGCAATTACATATCGCATCTTACGGAAAGCCTCTAAGCTACCGAATGACTTGTCAGTATTGCTAAATATGCATATGGATTGCTTTGCAATAAGGTTCTATTATTGTTCCTTCATTACCGATTTAGGATGATAGTTAATATAAAAGAAAGTAATAGAATTTAGGTGGAATTTAGATAAAATATTGGTTTGAATATTTATTGTAGTTTTGCAAAACGTTCTTTCTACTGTACTGGTTGGTTTCTCCATTTGTTTTGTATATGTGTAAACTACAAAGTGGAGCTAGGGATCTATATCTTACCGTTTATGACGGTTGCTTGCTCTAATAAAATAATGAAATGCATGCAGAAAAATTTATTACAGATCTCTAGAGTTGGGCACTAACAACTCCGAAGAGCGCATTGAGGCTTTAAAATTATGTACAGTGATGTTAGGTTATATGAACGAGGAGACAAAAAGCTCAGATAATGGAATGAAGAAAATTTTTTCGAGTGCCATTTTTCCAGAAAATGTTTGCCGTGCGTTAATCTCGATTGCCAATTGTTTCTTCTCAATTCGACATGATAGTGCGAAAATTGAAAAAAAAGAAGATGAGTGGGTTTTTCCTAGACAAATTGAAATTATGAAAATTATGCTATATTCATTTAATATGAACGTGCTTCTGACTTTGGTAAGTTTAGTGAGAATACATGTCTTCGTTGTACACATCGATATTTTACATCTATTGTTTAGGTTATCGGCGATTGCGAAGAATGTTTAGAGAGAGAGGGAGAGGGAGAGAGAGATAATTTACTATTTTTTACTGAGATCATTGTACTTGTCATTTTGAACATAGGATATAATCATCCTAATTTTAATAAAAAAGTAAGGAAAAAGATGAGGCATCTATTTGTTGTACTGAGATATTTATCTTTAATTCAGTTTATAGAAATTAGGTCGAGGGAGGAGTCAAAAATTTCTTAATCTGAAATCTATCAATATAAATTCAAATTACAGATTAGCATTTTCATGTTTCGCTGTGATACTTGAACAGGCTATCGTTACTCCAGATCTCATTTTGAATTCTGTTGATACAGGTACACAGATATTGTAGATTTTTGTTTATATATATATTTGATCAATAAAACGAACTAATTTGGTGCTTTGAACTTAGCGAATTTGCCATCAACACTTTTATGATTCTTTTTGTTTCTTGATTTGTCTATTAGAATATTTATAGGCTGGATTGTAGAACTTTGTACGAATGCTGTATTTAGTGACCGTTTATCCACTTTTGTTTGTCGGATTTTGTGTATGTGGCTCGATTCACCACGACTGAGAATGCAAGCTAAATTAAGATTGGTCTTAAATGTATGTTTTTATTGCTTATTTTAATTTGCCGACTTGTTTTAATTCTTTTATCATTTTCTAGGCCAACATTGACTTTTTTTTTACTGCCAATTAATTATAGAAGCTATTTTTTATATGTAACTATTGCCTGCTTCCAGAGGATTTTTGCTTCGATAGTTGAAGTCGAACTTTTTGAACGAAAGGAACCAATACATTTGTAAGTTTTTCTATTGGATTTTTTTGGCAAATTGTCTCCTAATAGTTTTGTTAGAATTTTTTAAATAATGAGGTTTGTTTAAGACTTAGATGAAAAATCATCCTGAGGACTATCACTTATATTTAGTTGTGGAAAACAGCTCAGTGTAACATATATTTCAAGCAATTTTTTCTTTTTCTTTTTTTTTTTTTTTTTTTGCTTTTTTGCTTTTTTGCTTTTTTTGCTTGACTGGAGCTTTGCGTCATTACTCATTCTTGATTAAATTGTTTCTTCGTTACTTTTAGTTTATTTTGATGTAATTCAACTGCACTGAAATTATTTTGTTATAGGGAGCAGCACGGGCTGTCAAGTGACTCCTTCCAATTGGAAAACTTTTCACAGATATTTTTAAATCTCTTACGCACTTGGGCTGGTCTTTTTGCATGTTCAGCGTTGGATGATCAGAAAACATCGGTTATTCCCGTATTATGGTTTGATTTTCCAACAATTTTCATTACTGCAAACTTTTTACATTTTCTTGTCAAAAATTTCTTTTAATTTTCATGATTTAAAATTTGTGTTGCTTCCAGTAATTGCCCTTCGATATTACTGGAAGAATTTATGGAAATTTTGAATTCATTTAAACATAATATTTTTTAACACAGCACCGTTGGTATTATTTTTTGGCACCTTGTGTTTTAATTTACTTGTGAACATTAAATATTTCAGTTTTTTGGATTACATAGGATTAAATCGACCTGCGCATGCGAATAGCTGCAAAATCCATAATTTAATCGTTGAATGTTGTTGTGAAATTTTAGAACTTCCATATTCCAAAACGAGATTCACTGATTGGTCTCATACAACGCATTTCTACTGTATGTCTAAGGACAATCCGATAGAATTATTATATCTTTTAGATCACTTTATTGAAAGTGGTGGTGAATGGGAGAGCAGAGTACTGCTATAAAGGAATAAAAAATCATATATCATTTGGTTGCTGCTAAGAAAACAAATAAGCACAAAATGAGTTGTAATTATAAGAGCAAGTAAAGCACGTTGAATCAATCGCAGTTCTTAGTTTTGAAATGTTATTTATTTTTAAAAGGTATAAGGAACTGACAGTTTTGTTGTCTTCCAAACGGATAGTATGCGTGGAAGAGTAGGGAGAGAATTTCGTAGTTATAGCTGGAAGTATATGGTCCAGATCTGATGTCCAGTACAAATATACTGGTTGTTTGATTGCATTTTAGTGACGAAAACATGTGGAGCTTAGTTATCTTGACTTATTAGTAGTATTCATGAACTAATGAATTTGAGAAGAGCGAACAACTTGTAATGTCCGAGAAATAGTACACAATTTATCAAAGCTCTTTTTGACCGTATTAAACAGAAATTCAATTATAGCAACAATGTATCATCCGGATGCCTACAAATGTTCTGTACGCAATGAATTTATTTTGTCAGAGCATGAAATATTACTGAAATTCGACCAAGTGAGATTTTGGAGAATCATTTTTGTCTGATGTACTAGCAATAACAAAAGAATGCGATATGTTTCATTTCTGTTAAGTAGTTTAAATATAATAAATTCTTGCGGTACGATTAACAAATATTTTTAAATTATCAATTTCAAAGGTCGAAGTATATCGATATTTCAACTAATTTTTCAGCAACATGCAAATGTTAACGACTTATTAGTATCATTCCGTTCAGTTGTTGTTTACTTGCTTGTCAATGCCAATCTCGTCCAGGTGAGTGCAAAACTTGTAACAATCCGTAATAGTACGCAATGTAGATAATACCTCATTTCCTACTACTTCTTTTATTTTGCTTTTATTCTTTTTTTCTTTTGACTCTCTATGTTTTTTATTTCTCTTTTAAGAGTCACTTTTTTGAATTTGTTAGGAAGCAAATACTTAATAGAATAGTCTTTCTGTTGGATTTATTTGGACATCAGTTACACTTTTTTTAGGCTTTATCACGAATCATACTGCAAGATCCGGATGATCCAGTAGCACTTAGGGCGACCGTTTTGATGCATGATCTTTTACTCATGGTTATCTTGTTTTCCGTTTTTTTTTTTTTTTTTCAGATTTAATCTAATAAAGTTTTCGTCCTAATTTAACGAGTATTTCTAGTTCGGAGAAAAGCTAAGAAAGAGGCTTACTGTTCTAATAAAGATGAGGAAAGACAATTGTGAAATTGGTCAAATGCTGATACCTTTGTAATTAAATGCACATTATTCTGTTCTGTTGGGTGCTTTGAATTTTTCCCAACATGATGTCTCCTTTGGTTTGTTACCTACTTCTCCAAAAGCTCTTACGGTCAATATTCTTTTCGGTTCAGGTTTTATTACAAATGCAATTTTTATATAAAATTGCATTTGGGATGTTGGTGGTGGTTATTTTTGATTTGAGAACAAAATATGGTTTGTTTGAGATGCTTTTGTTAGCAAAGGTTTTTTAGAGTTCGACTTGTTTACCGATGGAATGGAGACATCGAGTTTTGAGTTTGTCAACACTTGTTCATAGTGCTTATGAAATAATTAGTGAATCGCATGTTTCAAAAAGATGTTCTTTGAATGATAATGATTATGGAATAGAAAAATTCATTTTTACACATGCTGACCGAAGGTTGTTTTTCAAACTGTAATTTGGAAATAATTTCTTAAATCCTAGTTGTGGTAATAGTCAAATACAATCGCATGATATAGAAATTGTGAAACTTTTTTATTAAATTTTTGTTAATTTCTTCGTAGTAACTCAAGCTTATCTGCTGATTGTAACCAACAATTCGTTTTATTATATATCTATTACTACTATAATTCCAAAAATTTACCACACATTAATCTGAAATTTTAATGTTGCATGTTTTTATTACATAGTGCTATTTAGGAATGTTATCATTCTGCTCAATCGTTTGAAGATTTTGAACAGCATAGCATTAGCACAGAAAACGCAACCACTTCCAATTACCAATCTCCAGCTTTTCGTACAAAGTAGTCCAACTGCGACAAAATTGCGTAAAGCGAAGTTGTCTGAAATGAACTTTGATTATGGAGATGGAGATGCCAGTAAGATGGTCTATTCCATATTGGGAGCTATTAGAAGCTTTTCCCATTTTTCTGAAATTTTTTTTTTACAGTTTCTGTATATGCTGAGGAACAGTTTTACGTCACTCAGCCTTGCTGCGATTTAATTTGATTTTTATTATCTCTGAGATTTAAATCTATGAGACAAATTATTTTTTGTTTTTTGGAATACTGTTTATTAAGATTATGTCGAGATTGTACTGGAGAAATTGCTGTTCAAAACTGCGGAATCTGACAGAAGGCCTTGTTGGCCCGTTGTTGATAGACTGTTCCAGCTTCTTCAGATTTACTATTGTTGCAAAGATATACCTATCAAATATTCTAGAAAGTGTTACAGTATTTTCACAATGGTTTGTGTTTTTCTTAAACATTTTGACTATTGTTTGTAGTAATGTGGTTTAAATCATAAACAAACCAATATCCATATTATTCGTTTTTCTTTTTCTTTTTTGAGTTTTGTTTTACGCGAGGTTTTACATGAGGCGAATATTTTTCCTTAGTTTAACCATATTTCAGAAAGTATTCCAAAGCTGAGATAACACTTTCAGGTATTCAATTTTATCACTCCAGCAAAAGGCTCGTTGATTAACTTTGATGGCGATCGTTTCGTTATCATATGTTGTTGTCGGGCGGTACATATTTCACTCTTGTTTGCTACACGAGAAGCGCAATACAAAGAACTATTAATAAATTTTATTAGTGACTTTATGTCGAATATATCGGCGGTAATTTTTAAGTTTCTTTACAAATATTTTGTAGATTTGAATATATTCAAATGCATTGCTAAAGCAAGCATTTTGGTTAAGGCAGTGTTGAGAAAACTTAAGACCTTTAAGGATGCATTGTTCACTGGGCCATTGTCTCCTAAGAATTTGGTGAATACAGGGGCGATATATTATTTTTCATTTATTGGTGCCATATCTTCAAACAAGGAAGGAAGGCAGATGCTAGAAGCTACGCCATTGTTACAAATGTTAGTTTTTAGTTTGATAGAAGAAAGTGTTTTTTTTTAATTTCTCTTATTTAGAATTAACTATCTAATTTACTTTATCCAGGAGAAAAAAATCCTTAAATATGCAATGTATTTTTGTATAATATTTCAATCAACAATTGTAATGAAGTGTAACATCATAATTGTTCTTATGTAAATGCTTTTTCACGTTTAGTAATGCACCGTTTGTCCGCCCTTTTGCTTGTTTGCTTATTCCTTCGACGTATGTTTTGCTTTTATTGGTGACCAGGATTGGAATTAAGTTTGGTTCCACTTATCGCGCAGTTCTGTCATGATTTTTTGTAGTTCAAACTTAACTTCTTACGTGAGTTATCTTCTACCTACTGTAGAATTAATAATTTGTCGTCTCACATTTTTGTTACTAATAGCTCATTTAAATATTGCTGGATATGAGTTGCTGTTTTAGATTCTGTGGGTTACTTGCACTCACAATTTTTCAGAGACTTCTTATCTGCAGATTAAAACTTCTTTTATTTCTTGATGATTACGGAAACACTTTTACAAATTGAGTTAAGTCTTAGATCCTGAACGTTTCCTAACAGTCACATACTTTTGAAATAGGAAATTTAAGCAAAAAAAAAAAAAAAAAAAACTCCATGTGGATTACTAATGGAAGAACTTTTATTATAAAATAAACTCCAATTGAAAAAGAGTAGCAACAATCCCGTCAAATGTTGTATTCAAGATCAGCCATTGTTGGAGTTTTATACTAAAAATCATGGAAAATGGACGCACATTACCGTTTATAGAGATTCGATTTCAAACCATTTTTTTAATGTTATCAAAGTAATCCTACAGGACTCGGGAACTCCTAGCAATTCATAGGTTCATTTTGCAAAGGCATTAGTTTTCAAAGAACTAAAAAATATATTTACTCAAATTTGTCTCTTCATTTTTTTCGTTCAGAAACTTTTTGATGCATCCTACCAAAATTCAAAAAAAAAAAAGAAAAAAACGATTTTCTTTTCCGGAAACTGACGTTATCCACAAATGTAACACAAAACAAAGGAAAATTGTGTATAATATACATAAAAAGCAGAGAATTATGGCCTTTGTGAGACATAGAAACACCGCTGTATTTGACTCAATTTTCCGAGGCATTTATATTGTTCGCTAAGCAGAACACCTTGTGGTAATCCAGCTGCTGGATTACAGTACGGCCTACAGTGCTCGTAACCAGGTTCGAATACGTGGTATGCTTCACAACATGGTGTTGCATCTTGATATCCACTGGCACAAATCATTACATTACCAACTTTATTTAGAGGACATCGGCCTGTAAGTACTGCTAGTTGAATCTGAAATGAAATCTGAGATGGATTTGATGAATCTTTAGTCAATAAGTTTATTAAAATATCAGATAAATTTGTTAAAATTCTAGTTGATATAAACTGCCTGTGATTTTATGAAGAAAAAAGAAGAATGTATTTATATGGATTACATAGGACTGTAGCTCGGATTGTCTTTCATTTAAAGTGAATTATGCATTTATTAAAAGCGTCACACTTTAGAAAATAAAAAATCAATCATTAAAAACAAAAATTTTTTTGATAAAGTACTGCTTCAGAGAATTCTTAGACTATCCCTCAAATAAAAGGAAGGGTAATTCTGTCAACTACATATACTACCAACTTTATCTTTTCATCGTAAAAGAAAGAAAACAAACTGTAGTTAAAGTGGCATCATAATTGCATAGTGCGGCACATCCCTCGCCCAGTTCCTGGCAGCATGCTTTAAATCTATCATTTGCCATATCTTTTGTTATGCATGGTTCCCAGTTAGGTTGTCGAGGACACTTAATTATTTATTAGATTAGAAGAGACAAGCAATACTGTATTGTGACTTTTTATCGCTCTATAAATTGAGATTACTTGTGCGAGTATATTTGATGCATATATTTTACTCCTTCAGTTACTGATTTTATACAAATTTCATTCAGATCGTTTGGAGAAGTAGTGATTGATTACCGTGATGTTAAGTTAAATAAGATAAATAAATTGAGATTGAAAATTTTCATGAATTACCTGAGTAAGAGCAGGGGGCTGTTTTGGCTTAGTTTTGTAATACGATTCTTCAATATAATTGGTTGCTGCATCGATACTGTATTTTTGTGATGGTAGTAATGCAGGTCGTGCTATCTGCAAATACAAATTATAGACTTTTGCAAATCAACTTTCATTTATTACAGTGGAAATAAGTAAATAGATAGAATTTTATTTTGATAATCGCAAGATTAGTTATGTAGTGCATGAATAATAGTGAGATATAATAAGCAATCTGAATTAGCAACTATCACGAACATGGTTCATGCATATATTGTTGCTTATTCCTAAATTCTGTTTTGTAGAGTCATCACCACATTTATTACAGTTTATCAGATGAAATGTCACTGTTAAGGTGATTCAAAAATTTTCAATTGCTGGATAATGAAAATGAGGAACTTTTTGAGACAAATGGGATTGTGGAAGTGGTCTGATGGATACAGTAGGTTGTTGGTTTGTCGTATAAAAGTGTTGTTGCGGTTGCTGGACTTGCAAGTAAGGTGCCTGTCGTGGTGATTGCAGTTGTTGAGCAGGTAGTTGTGATTGACTATTAACAGGGTACATTGGAACAGCTCGCTGTTGGATTGTATAAGGTGCTGATTGGACTGTCTTTTGCTGCGGTTGTAAATAGATTTGAGGTTGAGAACCGATAGCTGCATATGGTGCAATCGCTTGTTCGGAAGCAACTATGTCGGTTCTTTGTCTTTGAGATTGAAGTAGCTGTGTTTGGGTGGCAGGTTGGGCGGGAAACTGATTCGGTAATACTTCAGTTGCTAAAGTTCGATAAAAAGGAGGCGCAAGTGTTATCTGCAAAAATAATTCATAGGAATTTAGTTTAGTCTTAATTTAATTGGAACTCCATTTTTTTTTTAGTGGCTTATGAAGAACATTACTTACACAAAAATACTTTTTTTGATAATTTCAGTTACGTAACTGGGAAGAATAATGTCGAAATTCAAACTGCCATATGAGGGTATGCAAATGTGTCTTTAGCAAAAATTTCTTTTTCAAATTATCCAGTTTGTCTCTCTTGGTTCATTTTTAGTCTATTAAAGGTAAATTACTGATTACCGGTGGAAATGTGAATGGCGGAAATGTTGGGAAGGTAACTGCTGGGAATGATGGAAATGCAGTATCAAACAAAGCAGTTTGTTGACTTGACATGGGTGGAATTCTTGGTTGAGGCTGTTGTGGCAAATACTGATAATGGTATGAGGCGAGTGGTGATTCCTGTGTTGGTAGTGGAGATATCTGAAGCATACCGCAATCAAAAATTGAGACTGCCTTGCTGTTTTAAACATGCTCTATTTTTATTTAATCTTTTATCTGAAGCAGTATGCTCACTAATATAGCTTTTGTTCATCCTTTTATAAGATTTTTAAATCCAAACTCGCTGTATTCTGTATATATATATTATTACTGCTCTTCAGAAACGTGTTGCCTTGACATTTTCATTTAGTCTGTTAAAATGAAAATATCAATTCAGGCTGTTTAAAACAGCCTTAACTTTTAATGTGTAGTTGTTTAAATTAATGCATCATTTACTTTATTTTAGCATCTAAGATATTTTGGGGGAGGTTTAAATTTGCGACTTACCAAGCTATATTTTGCGCCGTATGATGGATTTTGTGATGGGTGCTGTGGTAATAGCTGTTGGATATTCACAGTTCTAGCTTGAGGTCGTTGGAAAACGTTGGATGAGTCATTCATAAACTTTGGTGAATATCGTTCCTGAAGTAATAGTGTTCTGTAAAGTCAAAAGTTTTGATAGGGTAGAAACTGAAGTTATCAGTGGAACTCTGAATGGAAATATATTATTAGCAGTACTTCAGGTCTTTTGTAACTAATTTATATTACCGCACTATCTTTCTTTTTTTTCTTTCAAAATATTGCATTGGGAATTGCATTGAAGCCTCGATAAAGTTACAAAATTTAATAATTGTGGGTCTTTCAAAATTTTAATGTAAAATTTGTACAAGATGCTCAGTATACAATTATATCACCATTACAGAAGTATTTTAAAATCCGTTTTTTCCTGTAATTATCTGCAGGACTATTTAATAGTTCAGGAGTTGAGTTTCAAATATTCCGAAAGTTTAAAAAGTAATGAAGACAATAGGTATTTCTATAATGGACAATTTTCATACCGTTAAAAGTTCAGAAAAATATTATTTCCAGTAAAAATTTATTTTATAATTATCCCGTTGAATTACAAACTAAAAAGACCGAAATTTAGTTTGTAATTCGAAACTATTTTGAAAAATTTTTCTGTAATTATGGGTAATTTCTCTAAAAATTTGATTTTTTTATCAGTTTTTATTTTTTTTGTTCCCTAAAAACACAAAAAAAACAGTGGAATTCAAGTCAAAAATGCAACATTATATTATCAACACCTGTGAAAGTACAAAGGATAAGTTATATAAGTAGAAAGTATAACTTAATATTCACTATTTAATAAAGTGATAAAGTACTGCTTAAAGAAATGTAAATTCTGCCAGTTGAGATTTCAAAGTTTATTACGAGCTCCATCAAATTTCTATTTTATAATTGGTATGGGGCATGCTTGCCTAGTGAAACAATTTGTAATAAATTTATCATAGGTATATGTCGCATGACTATTCTGTTACATGCCTGACAGTTTCCCATATAAGATGACACATACTGGTATAGGAATTTCCTTCAAACATGGTCTACAAGTTTCGGGGCACATCGTAGCAATGAAAGTCACTCGACAGTGATGGCAGCGGGCTCGTTCACAACTTGGCAAATCTGCACCAATGTTGCAGGTAAACATCGAAATTAATACCGACAAAAGCACCAATGTCACATCCATTCGTGCACGCTATTCCTATAATTTATTCTCACAAATGAAAAATCAACAATTTGTTGATTTATCCGGTTATGATACGATTTCAGATCAAATGTGCATAAGGAAAAACAAGATTTCTTATGATTAGGCTGATTATGTGATGATAGCGAATGACTTCTGACATAGAGAATATTGTGCTTTGATAATTGTAGCTGATAATCATGATAGAAGTTTGAAATAACGTGGCAGTTACCTTACCGCCTTCATTATATTCAAAGATGCTATGGTTTGAATGTAATCAATCATTTAAATTAATGTAGAGCAATCTTTGAGTACACTGCTTCTTTTGTTTGCATTGTTCTATTCATAAATTAATATAGAGCAACCTGTGATTCTCTTTACAACAAGAAAATGGTCCTAAATTTATTAACATCTTTTTATTTCATTTTCATCATTTATTAAGTGAGATAAGAAAGATTTTTCTATTATACGAATTAAAATGTTCCGTCTTCTATGGTTTACTCCGCATTTATTTTATCCTCAATGCTTTTCAACTGATGGGCGTGCTTTCTTACCCACTTGAGAAGTACAATTTTGACCATATTTTCACATTTATCTGCTAATTAAATTACAAAAGTTGAGCCATTCGCCTTGTTCAATTTTGATAATTTATGAGTGGAGCTAGCTATTAATGATACAGAAATGATCTCGTAAAGAAAAATGAAGAATAATTACTGTCATTACAAGATAATAATAGGAAAATAAGGCATTGATCAACCACTAGTTATAGTGAGCATTTATAACCCCAAATCGTTTAGTCAATAGAAAAATAATTCAATATAAATATAACCAGTAAAAATTGTTCAAAAAGTTATCAGTGAGAATTAAAAGAAAGGAAAATTAAAGGAAATGTATTGAATTTCTTTCAAGTTCACATTTGTGAATTGTTCATCAAATAAATCGCTTACGAATAATCAATCCATGGAACTTGGATTAAGCTTCTCTCTTTACATTATTGCTTAAAAGATACGTACCAAGATTATTGCATTATAGCCTGTCTCTTCATTATTGTAATCGTAACTATTTGTCTCTTAGATAATGCTCAATATGGAAGATTGTAGAACTTCAAGAAGTACTAATTTCTTGATTAGTGGAAGCTAAAATTTCAAACGAGGAAGATCATCGAAATTAATAAGTAATAAAAAACAATGTATGCTAAGGAATAAAATGTTAAAATTGAAGGAGAAGAAAGTAGTATGAAAGAGAAATCGGTAATAGATGATAATCAAGAAAGAATGGGAGAGAAAATAGATAGGTGATCGTTGTGAGTCTTTTTCACTTCACTTAATCAGGTATTAAAGCAGCGCGGTAGCGACGAAAACTGAAATTCTGTTATGGCTCGTTCCTTTTTGGAAGGCTGCCGAAATTATAAGAAAATGGAGAAAAACTTGGAGGAGTTGGTATGAAGAGACAGTTTATTAGAAATAGAAAATGGATTAAAATTGCGTTTGCAAATATGAACAAATTTTTCATCCACTCATCACTTGCCCGATCCATACAGAGATGATGGTCACTTGCAACTGTATTGTCCACCTAAACAGGAGAAAACTCCTATGGGGGGGGGAAAAGAGAAATGGAAGGGACTTTCGGATCAAACCCATTCATCCTGAAGGGGATGGGTATAGGAGATTTTATTGAGATCGGGTTTGATTGCTGTTCCTGTTTGTCACCATTATGTGTATACATGGATGTGTTTGCGAGGTGGACAATTGAGTGTGGAAAACAATTGCCCATGTTGTGCGTAATACACAAAATAATCAGATGGGAAAATTAGAATTAGAGAACATACGAATGAACAAGGCAATAGACACTGACACCCATTAATCAGCAGCTTCCTTTCCTTATATTTCACGTTCAATCTTATCATCCACTCCTGCATTATTTCCTCACTAAAATCGGGAAAATCTTGCATTTTAGAATAGAACGGAAGGGACGAAAATTTCTTATGATCAGAAATTATTATTGGTGATCTTACTGCTGATAATTATTATCAGCATTCTCTATTGTAGTGACTTAATGAATAATAGTAATATTAAGGGTTTAGTGTGCTGTACTATATTACAGTTAAGGGGTCACTGAAACTAAGAGACCCGGAAAAGTCTGCATTCTATATCCGAATGTTAAGTTAAATTGAGTGTAATACATTCCTTTACATGTACATACGCAATCAAATTTAAACTCGGAAGATATAATATCACTCGCAAACAATTCGAATAATTATTGGTACAGTTACTTTTCATGCATGATCTGTTTTTGAGCCAGATTTACAAATGAGTAAAGAGTAAACGACATTCTTTACTAAAAATAGTCCCCAAATAAAGCATTTCATCAGTGATATTATTTAGTCTCATTTTTGTATCTTATTTAACGGAATAAATCCACTGAGAAGGAAATGTTGAGAACTCTAAGTTTTTCCATGATAGGAATTGTCAACTTCCTAAATATTTTCCTTTCTCATTCTCACCAACAACAGTACCATAATTCATTTTATTTCACTAAAATCATCAACATTATTTATCGTTATAATTTATGTAAGAGTGTTTGCAGTTTCCATTTTTAAATTTCTCGTGAATAGTGTTCTTTCTTCTTACATCGTAGATAAATCCAATTTAAAATTTGACTGCTAAATGGTAATAATGATGTTAATAAATTATCGGAGAAAAGTGATGATACAGTATTTTCAAGATTAATTTTCGATAAGTCAATACCAGAGAACAGATCATCGAATCCGCAACCGGCATCACATAATTGTGTTGATTCTGCGTGATTGAATAGAGATGTGAAAGTCACAACAACATTGTAATATCGATATTCCATTGGTTTTAATGAACATTGTTTCATTGAAGAATTATTTTGAAGCGAAAGAAAAAAAACCTTCTCTCTACTTAAGGATTTTGAAGTCAAAAAAAAGCAAAATTATGAAAATTTGTCGTTAGTAATTATGAGTACAAAGGGATGTAAAGAAAACATCCGAAAAGTAACTAGTGATTATTAATTCTTCTTAACAGACTGAAGCATTTAGTAAGAGATTTTTTAGTTTAAAGTTAAAAAGTACTAAATATCGTTCCATCCTTTCATTTTATGCTTACTAGTCATGAATTAACGTTACGTTTTTTTATTTTCATCAGTCTACTGACTTCCTTATGAAAATTGGATCATGTCATAAATGTCATACATGAGTAGTTTTCGTTTAAAACACTTTATTGTTGCTATGAAATGAAATGTAATGATAAAATGACTCTGAAAGTATTCTTATTCCCCTTCAATGCAGATCAAGGTCTAGAACATTTCAAAGAGATATAGTGAGTGATAAGTAAAACTTGTGTTGAAAACATAGATTAAAAAATTTTGAAATTAAACACATCTCTTTATGATTTCACCTATTGTGCTGACAAAATCATTATTTTTCTTAGTAATTTACAATAGCACTGAAATGTTTGTTTTCCGATTTCTGGTGAAGAAGCAAAACTAGTCTAATCTAGTTGCGGTGATTAAAAGGTAATTCTTCACATAATAACCGGATTTCACAGTGTTCTTTTTATTAATTTTTTAATTTTCATGTGTCATTTCAGGTTCGTAGATTTAATAAAAGATACAACAAATGTGGAATATGTTAAACTTATCGTATCCTGCTTATACTACGGTTCTGAAGATTCTTTCAATCGTTTTATCCTTCAAACAGCTCTCACTAGTGCTAATGTGGTATCGTTTTTAAATCTTTTTTTGAAGTGCACTTAAATGTTTTTTTAGAAAAAATCTAGTTCAGAAGAACGACTACTGAATGACATTAAAAGATACTCATTTTTTTACGTATACCTATTTAAATCACGAATAATTTCATTCTGAAAAAAAATTAACTTCCTTGTTAATAAGATAGGAAAATTCAGCAAGTGCGGTAGTGTGACGCTAATAATGATTCGCGATTATGCAGTTAATATAATTCCTAATTATCGTTGCATTGATTCTGCTATCCGTTCGTCTTATTTGCCGTTATTGTTTTTACGGTTTTTACTGTTGAAGAAATGCTAAATGATAGAACTTTTATCGAAAGCTTTTTTTGAAGTCACCTTTAAAAATGGTAAATTTACATGTTTTTCTGACTTTGTTGTATGGATAGACACTCATTTTTTAGGCTGGCAGGAAATGGGCAACTCAATTTTTAAGTATTTTGGCATCTCACAATATCAGTGATTTCTCAGTCTGGGGGATAAAATTGTTGTTGGGACAACTCGCGGATCCCTCAGCAAAAGTTGTCCGGCATGCTTTACGTCTGTTGCATCGTTGGATACCAGTATGTTGGCTGATTTGTTTCTTTGGAATTTCGCGAAATTTATCTCTTAAAGAAGTCGGGGACGACATATTTCTCTCAACTCTTGAAGCCTTTTATTACCAAAAAATGGATTAGTTAAAGTTCTGAGCTATTAATCCTTGAAAATAGCATTAAGAAAAATTAAGAACGACTTAAATGAAATAAATGATGGTCTGCATTTTTGTTTATTTATTCTACATTTTATTAAATTTCAATCTCTGCTTCGCAGTATTACAGATACACAGTTCGTTCTTAATATTATTATGTTATACTTAACGTTGCATTGTCTATTTGCAGCATTATCTAGAGAGTGTTTATCTAATCAAAGACATATGTTTCGATATATTTGGTGATGCGGGAATTTTGTTGAAGACATATCTCTTCTCCAATGAGAGTTATGTAAAGGACAATTCTCGTGATGTCTTAGCAACTCTGGATTATTGGAAAAGGGTTTATTTGAATCATTTTTTATAAATAAGTCAGAAAGAATGCGATTACATATGAAAACGTTGGAATGTGGAAGTTTAGAGTTTCTCTTTGTTTGATTGTGTAGTTATCATTCAGCTCTATTGCCACTTGATTATTTATCGCAGTTAAATCAGGAAATCATTTCCTTCACTAATTTTGTTTGGTAGTCAGTTCATTATTTATTCTTAATTTTCGAATAAGTTTGTTTCCAATGTTGTGGAATTGAATGAATTAGTAGTAATCACTATTAGCTTCCATTCATTTGCGCAAACTTTGAAATCAGTATTGTGTTTTTATTCTTACAGGTTATTATTTACAGAAATTTAATATGCGTTACGTCGAGATAGTTGATGAGGATGTCAGAGTTGCTTTGTTGGATTCGAAACGTTCAATCAATGGACAATATGCAAGATCTTCAAATGAGCGGTTTGTTCATTAATATCATTCTCCATAACTTTTCATAGTTATTATTGCTAGACTACTCCAATAACCAATAATAATATGCATTAAACCATTTAAAGCACTCAAGTTGACTTCTTCAACACTATTTTATATCAATAGCAGTATCGTAGCTGATGTTGCGAAGGGCTTTTTCCATTTATTCATTTATCTGGCTGAAATTAATGATATCTTACGATGCACAACATACTTCTCATGAATTCTGAAAACGAGAAATGAAACATTTCGAACTATTTCGTGATTTTTCTTTCAGAAAAAATTGAAAGAGATTCTATCAACTATTGCATTCAAAATGGTAATTATAAAATTAAAAATGAAGTTTAATATTTTACAGCAATGACTACGCTTTTTAAATTTAGAGTTTCCAAGTTAGGTGTGCCAATGCCAGTACATCTTTATGGACAGCTAGTACAACATGACACTGGTCGTGAACTACTGCTGAGATCGAATGAAGTTGATAGATTGCTTGATGTTTTACGTGACTCGCCTTTACCAACAGATACTTATCAAACATCTAAATTAAAAGGTGCGCTCTACGCGTTGGGGCATATTGTTGCCAATCTGAATCCAAGTAAGTTCTTTAAAAAAATTTCCAGCTTACACGGTCTGATGATTCCATGTTTTTCCAGCTCTGGTAAAAATCTTTTCAGGCCTTTTGCCCATGGAAACAGTACCAATTATTTGTCGCTTTGCTGAATGTTGTCCAGTTCTTAGTATTCGAGGCTCAGCTTTTTGGGTCCTTAATCTTATTGGCAATACACAACTTGGTTAGTAAATCTGAACGTTGATTTTGTGACTTTGTAAAGAATTTGGTTTTCATTCTTCGGAATAATTTTAAATGATTTGAAAGTTAACTGATTCAAGGATAATTTTTTGGTTCATTCTATAACCTTAGAATTAAGACATTTAATGGTTGCAAATTAATAAATCCTACATCAACCTGATGAACCGATACAACTCAGAGTGTAATGAACTTAGATGATGTTAAACATGTGGGCTTACTTACCTAGAGTACAATTATTACTTTTCTCTATACATGTTATTTTTTTTTTTTTTTTTTGCAGGTTCTGTTTTGCTGTTGTCACTAGGCTGGGAAAGCAGCAATTTTATTATTGGTGAGAAAAAATCGAATATGTTACTACTAAAGGCAGCCAATATAGATATAAATAAAATTTGGATTCGTTGCATCGATGAAAAACTTCCTTCGCAACAAGAAATAAACTTGGTAAATGAAATATGCAGATTATCTTTGGAAGAAAATCATTTCATATTTCCAATGTTAAGTGCAGAGTTTCATTTCACAAATATTTTTTATTTGTCGGGTTTTATGTCTTTTACTATTTCTCTTCGGAAACCTCCAATTTTATTATTATTTAGTAATATGATTTTACTTAATATTTAAAATGTGCAATTCATATTTTCTCATATTGCATTCAGTTTCTGCGATATTAAAAACTGCAGACTAACATATGCTATTTAAGAAAGAAAGAAAGAAAAAAACGATTTTTTAGAAAACTTTTGGCGTTGATCTTGTGAGCTCGACATTTATCACGAATAAGAATGGGACAGTTCCATTTACTGGTACCAAATTTCATATTTAAAACAGCATTTAATACTTGTTTTCTTAAAGTGACAACATTATTAGAAAATATATTGAACTAGCAATTTAGATTATGGAACACTTTGGCACCGAAAAATGAATTGCTCAATTGAAACTCGTCATGTTTCTAGCTGTGTGACTTTTGAACTTGAAAGTCGATTGTTTAATCATGGCAATATTAGTGTTATGGAAATGGAAGGTGTAAGCGTTCTAGCTCTTTTTATTTATAGATATACTAAGGTCTGTTCTTATTTTAAATCCTGATTAACCGTTTTTTTAATAGAATGGTTATTACCGTTACCCCTGTGTGCTATCCTTCTTAAGAGGTTGTTATATTCGCATTACACTACACCATGACATTATGGAAATTAATATTCTGGCAGTGAAATGCTTATGCATTCCGTAGAAAAATTCTAAGAAAACTGTAAAGCTTTAAACATTTTTTGTCGTATAGATAAGAGAAGATTGTTTAATGGTTCGCACTCAGTTTCGCCTACCATCATTTTCGTTTGACACAGCGCTAAATTATACCGCTATATCAGATAATAAGGTGATTTGTTTTTGACTGTTTTGCTCCACACTATTGATAATTTTTTTTTAAAAAAAATTTATTTAATGTGTTTTCAAGAGCAAACAGAAATTGTAGATTTAAAAACCTATCATTTTTTGTATCATGAAATAGTTGCTATAAGTTACAAAGAAATGGTCAGGCTATGTTCTTCAAAATAGATTATAGTGGAAAAGACGATACTAAGCTTCTATTTCGATCATTACAGAAGCAATCGTTTATTGGAAAGGCTTAAATATGATTACTTTAACCTGAAGTTTAGTGGGTAAAACACTATAAAAATTATTTTATTTTGCAGTTTCTGTGTTTGTGTGGCTTTCTGAATCCTCTAGAAAGTAAACACAGAAAACTTTCGAGAAAAACTGATTCAGAAACGACAAAATCTCGACCGGTCAACTTTTCCGATCAGTCCATCTCACTCCCTCTCATTCCTGATTTTTTTTTAAAGGTCTGCTGTGGTTTTTGTGCTTTTCCATGCAACTATGAATCTTGGTGTTTTCAAATTATAAAAAGTAGTTTATATCATGATAAATTTATTTCATTTAAAATTCAGTTTACTTAGGTCATTTCAGTAAATCAAAATAAATGAAAAATTTTCTTTTTCTTTCCCATTCCTTTTACTGTGAACTAATCATATTGCCAATTTATGCAAAAAATTTTCAACTTCAGGATAACTGTATTTATGTCTAATTTTATATTAAGCGCATTCAATGTACTTTAAAAAGGTGCTACGGGTATGCAATATTAGAAAGCAATATGTATCTTATACAGTTTAGAGAACTAATAATAAGTTGTAGAACGTATTTCTTGGTGACGAATTCACAGAACAGAGCTGTAATTCATCGATTGTTAAACACATGCATCAAATCAGTAATTGCTTCTATTGTTCGTGGCCTGAAGAATATTTCGGCAGTAAAAGTTTGTTCATTGAACTTTGGATTTTATTTCTAAATTATCTCGATAAATCCACTTTAATTCCTGCACATAATCAGGGATTTGTTTCAATTTTTAGCATAAGCTAAATTCCGATCTCTGGATTAAGTAATAAGTGAGTGCTGATGACAGTTCCCTTTTTCAATTAATATTTTATCAGATTCCTGGTTTTAGATGTTTTGGAAGTTGAGGTACCTAGTGAAGCAAGGGATGAGATAATATCAATGTTTTTATTACAAGAATCGAAATGTTTAAACAGTTCAAAAAAGTTGCTCAGGTAAGTCTACACTTTTTTAACTTTCATTCCTTCTCTTTGAAGGATAATTGATTGCTGATGTTAATTTTAGTGTGGTTCCTTATTGCAGCGAAATGTTCCGCACTTTATCGTTCATTAAAATGTTCCTTACGACTCCCAAGAACAAACGTTTAGTGGTAATGTAATGCGTAAATAGGATTGAATGGACAAATCCTCATCTTTTCTCGTTATCTAAATTACAAGTTGAAATATTTGAAATTTCTAAATGCTTCGCTGAAGCGGATCAAAGCATTGATAGTTTGATTCAGTTTCTAGTATCAAAATATGTTTTTTTTTTTAGGAATTACTTATCTAACCGCGAAGTTTTTTCCTCGATTTGCCTTTATTCAGACGTTCTGGTATTATTAGCCCAGCATAATTTCAGCTTAGAAACAAGGCGTCTGGTTCATGAGTTATTTGCAGATGCTTTAAAGAAAGCAAGTTAATTTTTACCTTGGAAAATTTATTTCTGATAAAATTGTCATTTTCATACTGACTTTTTTGCCATTTTTGTTGTAGCTTAACTGTTTTGTTTAAATGCTTTGTCGCTAGCTCTTTTACTGCGTGAAAATTTTATTCGATTTTAATCCTTATCTGAAAACGTCATGCAGTTCATTTCCAAGCATGTTATAGCTTCAAAAATTGACACTCGAAACAGAACTACTTCCGGTCGAAATCAGATTGTTTATTATCAGAATTTGGTCTAGCTTCATTGCCTCTTTTAGCCACTCATTATAAACAATCGAAAAAATTATATCATTTTCAGCTCAGTTTTCGTGAAACTTGCATCTAAAAGCATAATGGTGCGTCATATTTATCTCGGTTTCACTTGCTTTCATTATCAGAGGTAATAACACCTGACTTTGGAGAATCTGAAATTCCGGAAAACTCTGATTGTCAAAAATGGATGCTGCTGAATTAATGCGAACTAAGTTATGTTGATATGATTATATTTAAAGTTTTTTCCTGTTTTTATTTTTTTTGAACAGTTTTATTAAGGTGATGTTTATTTCGCATTTTTGAATAGATTAGCTGCAAGGTGAAATATCAGTAATTTCTTGATATTTTTATCACGAAAAGTTATAAAAACGGAAGATACTTCATTTTCTTCATTAATGAGAAAGACTCCACTTTCTTCCCAATCTCCTTGTGTAGGAATTTTCTGTCTTCATGCTTAGAAATACTTGTTAATTAACATTTTATTGTTAACCTTAGGTTTTTTTTTTTTATGATAAAGGAATTGGTTGCAAAAAAGCCCAATCAGGTGTGTTTACCGAATAATTCGGTGGATTTGTTTCAGGAATCTTTGCAGTAGCATTTTAATTACACGATAAAAACTTTAGCAAGATTATGCTCTGCATAAAGAATGACATTGTAATTTGAAATCAAGTTAAGAAAGAATTTTTAAAAATTTTCCTTTATAAAATTTTAGTTTTTTCTTGACTTGATTTTATTTTTCTTAACTTGATTCTCCTTTTTAAAATTGAGCCAAAGACTATGTGGGCTGATGAAGTTTACTGCAAAAAATTGTATTTTTCCATTTTAGTCTTTGCAAAAATAATTCCCATTGAATATTTAATCAGACAAATAAGAAATAAACAGTTTGACTGATGCAAATATAATTTGCTGAACTGAAGTGAAGGTCAACCAATTAATCTCAAAGAACTTGTCGGCCTGAACTGTGCGACTAAAATTACAGATCTATCTTAAGAAAAAAAGTTTATCTTTTGACTACTGCATTGTAAATATCCTCCGGATATCCAATAGGAGATATAATCGTGTTAAATCAGAAAGGTTATTGTATAAAGAAAGTAAAATGTGAGTACCAAGGGATTAAGATTATATCTTTTCATGCTTGTAGTTAATGGCTAGTTTTTGATTTGTAAGAATATATTACAGCAAAAAATGCAAAACATAACGTTCAAAAATAGCATTAAAAAGAATTTTTTTTTTTTCAAAAAATAATTTACATTAAGTTGATTCCTCATGATACAGAAATCGGTGTGGATCTACTGAAAAACTGAAAATTTGAATTTATGAGAAGAAATGGAGAGGGGAGACGGTAGTGGATTACTCCTTCTCTTAATAACAAGAAGTTTTATGTATGCAAATAATATTTTAGACCACAACTATAAATTATTGAGAACTATTGGTATAAATCATGACTTTACCCATGTTATAACCAAGATTTTAGGACAAGAATATGAGCCACGGTTCAATTTATAATATTAACCAAATATAACCGGAAGGTTAATGTTCTATTTAAAATTTTGTGGACTACAGTTAATTTCGCATGCTAGGAAATTTATTTAAATTTTTAAGCTAGGTATGGAAATAGCCGTTGTATAAAGATAAGAAAAATGAAAGGAGAAGCGCTGAGCAATTTAGAAAGAATGTTTGGAGGGACATTGTGCGAATACCCGTATCAGCTGGATAATACTTCGATGCATGTTTCGGTCGAACAATGTCGTTATAGTAAGGATCTATTTTGGAAATTACTGCATCAAAATTTATAATACCACCGAAGAGTGGTGCTGAAAAAACTGTATATTAAGACGGATACTGGAATGGTTAATACTATTGATTTAAGTAATTCTATTCGAACTATAATTAGATCTAATCATAAATTGTTACAACACATTATTTGAGAATTTATAAGGAAAAATTAACATACTCGTTTTGTACTAATCTTTTTGGTTCAAGCTAACTATAAATTATTAAAAGTCTTCTAAATTGTAATTTTATTCGTGTTGTAACTGAAACTTTGGTAAAAGACTAAATATATGAGTATAAGTTGCAATACTAATGAAGAAAGTACTAATCAAGAGTTGATTCTAGAATATTCCTCTAACTCTAATCTTGATGAAGGTAGTGCAATACCTCAAATCGATACCGAAGACCTACCACTGTATGTGGAAAACGGTGCTCTTGCATGAATATCATTGCACTTGTTTTTACGATTGCAAATACAGGTAGTCTGATTCATAGAATCTTCACAAAGGAGCGTAGCTCCCACACGTGTCGCGAGAAGTTCAGCACGTTGTCGTGAAAATGATAAATCGGTAAATTGCCAATCAGTTAACGTTAAACAGCCCGCCATATACTGATACACCGGACAGTTCTTACACTGTCCTAAAATATATAATTATATGGTGCATTTTTCTATTTGCTTTATTAAAACGATTATACAAATTATTTTCACTTAGCTCAGACATTATCATTACCTTATTTTATTAAATTGATGGGAGTACTTTCATCCTTTAACATATGGCAAAATTATACTTAATTTTAGATGTTAGTTAATATACAGAAATTAGTTAATAACTATAACTGGGGTTTAAAGCTTTCCCAAAATTAGGACAAAAGATTAGATTTCATGATTAGAATCATGAAAGTTATTAACGGATATAGCAAGTTTTACACCCAAAAACTTATCTGTCACTTTCTTATGAAACAACTTCTTGAAATTATATAATCATTTAAGCGAAATTTTCGAAAATAAATGTGATTTTAAATGGAAATATGCAATTTGTTTTATTTTTTTTATCATTTTCTATGTTGGAAATAAAATTTTATATTTTTGATCTAACAACGCAGTTGATGTATATATTTACAAAGCAAAAATGAAGGAATTTATTTCAAAGGTGACGTTAGAAAGTTTGGACATACTCATAAAGCAGACGTTCCCTGTGCAAGTGCGTGAATGCGGTCCACACGTGGAATGAGGATCTTTGGCAAGCACATACCACAGCTGAATGCACTGTCGACACGTAACGCTCGGGAGTTGCCGATCCAACTCGAAATCGTCGATCAATCCCAGGAAAGATATTGCATTTTCAACAAGTGCAAAATAAATTGTCACCAAAAGGGATGTCAGCATCAACAAAATAGTATTGCTCTCCCACTTAATATTTTTTTACATCCTGTAAAAAGCTTAATTTTGTTATTTTGTCTTTTATAAACCCCAATTTCAATTTCAAATATAGATATTAGAAGTGTAGGAACGCTTACTAACTCCCAACTCATTTTTATTTGTCGATTATACTATTGCAAATCTTGTTCATCTAATTTTTCTCATCTGATTTCAATAGTCTGCATCACTAATATTTTGCTAGGTTAAGGAAAAAATTTTACAGCATTCGATTTAAGCTTTAAAATTTATCAGATGTTAAAAGACTTATTCTGCTTCTACAAACTAATAGGCAATAAACATTGTACCCGTTTATTAGTTATCAATACGTATGACTTTTTTGAGTTGAAAAAAGTCGTAAGTGTTGATAGTTCGCTATTTTATCCCATTAAAAGTTAATTCTTTATTATAGCCCATAATTTGTTCTCATATATTTCAATATTCTATTAAATTACTAGCTTACTTTATTCTTTATCTTAACTAATTTTAGATGTTAGTTAATATACAGAAATTAATGAAAAAAGAAACACAATAACAAAGAAAAAGAAACTTGTTAAGGCATCTGATGATTAGCTGAAGTTTCAACAAATCGTGTGAACAAGAGAAAATGAATGTTATTTAAAATGAACTATTATTTCAAGAAAGCTAATTTTATTGGCAGCATAAACAAAAACAAAACAATAACTCCGCTTTCTTTGTTCTAAAAAAAAAAAAGGAAAATTGAAATGAATTGAAAGGTATAAACAAAAAAAAACACAAAATTAATAAATTAGTCGTTTTAATTTCCGTTCTGACATCAAAAACAAAAAATGATGAAAAATTGAGAATTGAAGAATTCAAATTGGATGTTTTTTAATTTGAATTGATTACAAATACAGGAACAAAGATTAGTGATTCATAAGAAAAATACGAATGAGATTTTATTAGAAAAATTTGAATATCATAACGGTTACTTCGGCGTATTGTAGACAAAACAAATTCTAAATAACCAATAAAAGTAGACATAGGGAAAATAATTAAAAATGAAATGAACTATTTTTAGATGTTTTATTCTCCTTTTTTTAGTAAAACGGCTCTATATTTAACTTCTCATTAAACTTATGATTTCTTTGAACTTTAAATTACTTTGAAACAAATAATACTATGGCTAATTTTGCAAATTATAAGTGAAAAATAAGTTAATATACAGGACGATAGAAGTTTTTGCATACGACATTGTAAATGGAATGAAATGAAATAAAACTAATTTATAAATGGACACAGTAGCCTCCATAGTCTGTAATACTAATTTAAGTACCTTCCTGAGACATAAAGAAATTGACATATTCGATGACATCCCAGAACAATTTATTTCAGTGATACTTTATGCTTTCACGACACTTATAATCTTATATAAAGTCTCTTATGTCTTCTTATCTCCGCAAAATTCAAGACGAGAGGAGCTATATCGATCATAAATAATCCTGGCTCAAGAAAATCGTAAGGTTAAGGGATGACTTAAATTTTCAAATTAAAAAAAGAAGCACCAGAATCCTCAAAATATAACCATTGGTCTTAAATTCGCCAATGTTTCAAGTTGAATTCACTATCATTCTACAACTGAAGACATTGTTATTGAACGAAAAGGAAGAGACTAAGAAAAATGTCAACATATTAATATGAAAATTTCCTTGCTTTTCCTTTTTTAATAGAAAGATACAAAAGATCAAAATTTTCATGCTGTTAGGGTGATAATTTTATAGTTGAGAATGAAATTCTTTTTGTTTGTCTAATTTTTTTCTTTTATTTTTTTTTTATTTTCTCAGTATTTAGAACGAAATTCCCATGCGATCATTGGAAATATTAACTCTGTTAGCCTTCCAGAAGAAAAGTTTACGCAAACAGGAATTTACAATTTTTGCGTTTATTCTTCTCCAAAGAAATCAAAAACATTGAAAAAAGACTTCAAAGAGCCTTTTTTCAATGTTTTTTTAGAACTACAGAATTGATGCTATCAACGAATAATGGAACAATCAAAATCGCATAAAATTTAGTGCAAACGTAACGCACGCAGCGAACTATTTCACATTATTTTTATATTAGCAAAATACTAACCAAAATTGAGTCTCAGATTTGTTTTGTCATTTTAGCCACTAAGATATGTAGAATAAGAAAAGGATTTAATAAAAACTGCGATCTATCCCTAAATTTGTAAATTATAAAATTACTTTGAAATTAAAATATGAAACATTGGAGGATTGTCAGTGTAATTTTAATTCTTCTCATTCTGTAAAACGAAGACCTTTACTCCCTTCAGGTAAATGAACATTGAACAAGATATTCAGTTTTGCGAAATCTGTTCATTTAGTTTCCTTCCTTCGGACAGATTACTATTACGGAATCATTTTGCGACTGAGTGAAGATATCACCTAGACCTTAGAGAGCAGTTCAGAAAATTTTCAACATCTCAATTCTGTTCAGAATAATGCTATATTTTGTTCCCTACAACACATGTCTGAATTGAGCATCGCAAATAATTCCACAATTTTCAGTCAAGCAATAAACCTTTAGTAAACTTAATTAATTCAATCAGTCGACATATTTTTAATGATATCTAAAAAATTATTCTGTTACTCTATTTTTTTACTCCTCAGAACGATTAGATGTATACATAAGCTTCACTGAGAGTCAAATGTAAGCTATTCATTCAAATCCAACAAATTTTTGGTGTACTTCAGTTCCGGGAATCAATTAATTGCACAACAATCATTTGACAATTTTAAAACTATTTCCCTGATTGCATTACAATCACAATCAGCAACAGCTAAATATTTGTGAAGAGAAAAACAGAGAGAGAGAGAGGGAGAGGATGAGAGGTAGGGAAAAAAGAAAATTCTTTAGTTGCAAGTGAAAAATGTAATTAAATTTAACTGTTGAGTGAAAACGGTTGAAAATTTCCAAAAGTTTTTGATGAAATCTATCAAAATTTTCAGAAAAAAGATACAAAAAACGGAATCATTTAAACTGTTTCAAACAAATTGCATGGTGATAATATATTTGTCTATTCGTTAGTAAATGTCCTACAAAATAAACTGCAAAGTATTTGATGACGATTAAAAATGCCTGTGTATTAATGCCCTAGTTTCTAAGAATATACCTGAAAATTAAAATGGATAAAAGAGAAACAATAAAATGTCTGTCATGTGAAAGAAAATGAATGCTTAACAAAAATAAACCAATTTTATGGGAATATTTTAGTATATTTATAAGACTTACTTTGACTATCAGACTTACCAGCAAGTAATAAATCACAAAATTGCCCTTGAAGGATTGTCATTAATAAGAGGTTCATACGGCAGCATTTTTTTTTTTCCTTTTTTTGCTAAACGATTATTATGATGGAACAATAAATTATGCATGTATCTTATCTAAAATTTCTGGAATATATCATTTAACGAAAAGCTATTAAAAATTTGAATATGTTCAATTCATTTGCAGATTCCCGAATAAATGTGTAATTACTGAAGTGAAATTGCTTAAATGTGTTCTCAATTCGATACAGCAATAGTGGTTTAGGTTTCTCAACCAATATTCAAAAACCGTTTCACACTTAATTCATCTATTTATTAAGCCTCCAGCGATAATATTATTTAGAGTGGTAACTTCCAAAAAAAGAAACACAAGGATCATCCTTGTTTTAGGATATGAATGTTTACAATGCTTCTTATTAGTATGAGCAATGAGAATAGAATGGGTAATCGAGGGAATTTTTCTTAGAAGCAAATTGTTCGCTTCGTCGAATGATTTGCATTTTCCGCAGTCTTTTAGACAGTTGTACTGAATGACAATATTTAATCTAAAGAAATTTCAAAACTAATAAACGATTAAATAGTAACGACTTGAATTTTTTATTTTTAGAGAAGAGAGAAATATGACTGAGAACCATTAACATTTTACTTTCTGAAACTGAAAAATTTATAGAGAAAAAGATTTGATGGCTTTTATAATGAGGAAATTAAAGTTCCTTTGTATAAAACAGAAGAAAAAATTGATCAAGCAGAAAAAGACTGGTTTATTTTTTTCGACCAATAAGACACAGGATAAATTTTCATAGATTTAAATTATTTCACACATATATATATAGTCAACCGAATATTTTCTGGATTTAGTTTCTGTTTAGTGATCAGCAAGAGGGAGTTAACTGGAATTATAAGGAATAGAGAAACTTACTCCTTTCATTTTAGTGATAGAATCGTGAGGAATAAAAACTAAAAAATCTAAAATAAAAAGAAAAAAATCTCCAAACCACTTTTCTTTTTCTTTTTTTTTTTTTTTTTTTTTGTTTAGCTCTAAAATTTCAGGAACTGACAAAAACTTCTTTCAACAAATCCGTTTTAAGCTAAATAAACTTTTATAAAATTATTATGAATATATATATATATATAATTGGATATGCTTTTAGCATAATTAAATTTAAATGCATTGACTCATTTTGAATTGCATTTTTACAGTGCAAGCAAACTATTCAGTTTACTCTTGAAATGCTAATCAAATAGCACAGCCAGTTTTAATGACAACATTATGTAGAACAAACGTTTGGAAGCTCAATAACTTAAACATATATAATTTAATGAGAACTAATAATCTGAAATCAAATAAAGACTACTGATTACGGCAATTATGCTGTGTTCGCTTTTGTGATCTTCAAGCATGTGACATAAAATTAAACAATGGAAGTAATAACGAAAATATGGAAGAAGTACAAATATTTCCAAATAAAAATGATTTATAGAAAAAGATGAGAGAAGATACTGAAGGATTATGTAAGATACTGAATTAAGAAGTCTTAAAGTTGAAAGATAGCATTATCGGTGCGGCAATTAAGCCATAAAATCTCAAGACCAAAATTTAAAACATAATAAAACTTAGACCATCATTACTTAAGTCATTACTTAAAGTTGAAAATTAGTATTATTGGTATAGTAATTAAATCATAAAATCTGAAGACCAAAATTTTAAAACTTTATCATATTCTATGCTTAATAGAATTACTTAATGACAGGTGTGGATTATACCAGAAATATAATGAAAGAATAAAATCAAGCTGCTGCTATAATATTTCTTACTTATGTGGAATATTGGATATGAAATAATTTATGAAAGAATAAAAGAGGGAAGTGGTTGCGAAGTGACAATAGAGTTAACACTGCTTTCGATTTCCACAAGACATAAGAATAACACATAGTGAATTAGATACCACTGGATTTGCGATTTAGTAATCAATGGATTAACGATGGTACGTATACGTTATAAAGTTTTAAAACCAAGATTCAAAATTTAATAAAATTTAAATTATTACTAGCAGTCACAAAGTAATCATTCATTACTAAGATTTGGTACTCGAAGTTCAAAAAAGAATAGCTATTCACGACGGTAGAGGCTAACAACCTTGTCAAATTATAAAGGAATTATAAAATAACAGAATAACAAAGTGAAAAAGCGGAGAATGATCGTACTAAAAATCAAATATATATTAAAAAATTATGGTACTTCATTGCTAAATTTTTGCCCATTTAAAATATTTGCGAAGAATAAACGTTTTTAGTAATCAAATTGAATGAAGAAAAAAGAGCAACGAACCATCAAATTGATCAAAAAACTGATAGAGAAGAAAAGTGGAAATGTGGCATGTCTGGCTTTTGATCATTTCTTTTCACTATAATCGAGCCTGAAAATGAAATACAAATTGAGTTTCAATCTTCATTCACGCTATTGCTAGAAATAGCATTTTGCTTCAAGTGTGGAAGGCTGCATTTACTCATATTGTGCTAACAGCTGCTGTTTATTTGCAAGGCAAAAGGTTTGATGGCGACATATATAACAAAATCGAGCTCTTAGGATAAATTATTGACATAGCTTGAAAATATACTTTTGTTATTTTAATCAAGAAATGAAATCATTTATTGCTACATAAGATGGATGAAAATTTTTTCGACTAATTGATTTTCAGCTAATTGAAAGGTTTTGTTTGAAATGTCTTAGGAGGTGTTTCAGGATATTTCAGGGTAGTTGTCACATGGCTTCAACTTCCTATTTGAACAATTGAATTGTAAATTCAAGCGGCTGATCCGCGGGACGATATTTATCAAACTGGAATGAATGAAATTTAACCAATATTCAAAATATTTCAGGCTATATAAGAAGCACTAATAGAAATCTATTGACACTTAAGATCAAAATAAAAAGGGGGGAAAATTTTGGACATCAAGCTGATCACTGATTATAGCCTTTTGTTACTTTATGAAATTATACATACATATATATCTATCTTCAATAGTCAATAATACTCTCGAATGAATAAACTAAGGTCGTAGAAATCACCTTTAATTGGGCACGAATGAATTCATTTCAATAAGACCGAAATGATGAACTATAGTAATAAGCATTATTATTGTCGTTTGTCGTTTTAATTTTGTTCTTGTTTATTAATCATTATAGAAGAACACTGAAGTTTTCATCAACAAATACCCGAATGAAAATAAGAAATGATTAACATAATTATTTCATTTTCTTATTGCATTTATTGCTTTTCCTTTCAATTACCTTTACAGACGAGAGCACATTATGGTCCAAAAAATGTTAAGGTTGACTGGAAACGGCCATTTGTGAAAATTGATATGGGGCACCAATTTTTCTCTAACAATTAAGTACAACGAAAGGATAGCTGTTTTGAAAGATCAGATAAAAAAGTTTTTTTTCAAAATGATCTTAATTGCAAAAGATTAATAAACAGTTGAATATAAGAAATATACCAGCCTGAAAGATTTTTTGGCTCATATACTATCACATATAGAATCCAATTCGAGAATATTTGGACAGCGAATATTTTATACATAAGAAAGGATACTACACTTCGGTGAAGCGAAGTGCAATATAAACCTTCATAAAAGAAACTCGAGAAGAAGTAATTGAATATTTAACACTTGACACTATGGCAATGTGTAGACAACCAATTTAAAAACAAAAAATCTCAAAAGCTGGGACAGGAAAGTAGGAGTGATTAAAATCAAAAAATGATGAACAAAAATAAATGTCCCGCTTTTAAGTGAATAAGTTTAACAAATTTTATTTTTGCAATGATCAAATATGATAGCACAAGATTCTACATATAAGAATAATTCTTTAAAAAGCTGATCAAAGATTTGCTTTTGATTGAAACTATCTGAAAATGTTTCAAATTTCAATAGCAAGGCAGAATTGTAGAAGGCAACAATCGTGACTCACAATTATAAGCCTTCAGTAGAAAGTAGAATTACTAAGCATTATTAGTAGACAAAGATTTAATAAATCTTACATTGCTTTCCTTTTGACTACGAACTAATTAATAGATTGACCGATTAAAAATTGCATCAAATTGACTAACTGATGTTGTATGACACAGATGTAATAATCTAAGCTTCATGTTAACTTCAGTTTTAATTAACTTCTCAACATAATTATTTATTTAATGATTTATACTTTTGATTCTTATTGATGTGTTGAATTAGAACATTAAAATTCCTCTTTATAGTATAGCAGATATTACATACATAAAATTTAATAGTAGTTTCTTCTCTGCTTATTGAGAACATGTAATAATAAGTACGTTCTTAAATGAATATTTCTTTCGAATTCAGCGATTAGAATATTAAAATTCCTTTTTATTATCAAAACAGCATAAGCTGATTATGATAATTACATTTGCTGAGAAAAAGTGAACCACTGACTAATACTACTGCTTGATGGTTAGACATTTTACTATCCTGACTATTTCATCCATCTATAAGAAGTATTATTAGAGAAAGTAATAACTAAACATTAACATTTAATACTAAGTAATCTGTCTCCAATCGTTATTACACATTTACTATTTGGAAATGATTATTTTGTAAATGAGCTTAAATAGAAGAAATTGATAAGAAAAGACTGTGGAACAAATTTGCATTATTATCTTGCAACCGTGACATGATATCATTTTTTCTTTCATTTCAGATTAGTTAGTATCTGAGAGAAGAAAATTCTTCCATTAAATGAAGCAAGGGATGACAGTCACAACAAATCCTCAAGAATTTTGCTTTGTTTGCATTTAGTTTTCAAGATGGAAGCCGCAGATGTTAGGACTGAATGGAAAACGGTGACATCAATATTTCAAACTTCATCTCTTATCCGTGCAGGTGTCGTTGCATCAGTTGTAATAACAGAAATTGATCAGATGCTGATGATCTGTTTTCCTTCAATTTCTGCTTGATACGAATAATTCATTTCGAATTGACTGGAGTAATTCTGGCACATGGATACACTTAACTGTGCATCTTAAGCTCAGCTCCCGTTTTTCTTGTTTCAGAATGTTGCAAACTTTTGAAGTGAACCTTAATTTCTTGCCGTCAACGATCTATTCACATGGCTGAAAAGTAAAGCTATAAAAGTCAATCCTACTAGAAATCAAATCCATCCTACCAGAAAACCCTTCGTATCACTCGGAAAATAATAGCAGTTATTGGAGGTAATTTGAAATCAGAAGTGAGAGAGGACCGCGTTAAAAGTGATGAGATAGAAATGAAATGTTTGTTGCTGAATGTATAATCTCTTCCGCTTGTTGGGCTTAGTTGGAGTGGAGTGGTCGACATGGAACCTAATTTTAATCTTACCTGTTGCGTTGTTCCAGCTTGTTTTGAATACTCCTTAGTACATGCAGTGTATTTCAGATTCTCTGCTTTATTTATTGTAAAGATTACATCTCATTAACTGCGAAAATTAGTGATTTCAAATGACACCTGTTAGAGAAGTATGTCCATTATTTCTATCTACGTAATCTAAACCCATTCAGCTGTTTTTCTTTTCTTGTTGTCGTTTCAGTTTAGTAGACATATGTAGTAAATTGAACCATAAATTTGAATCACCTTAAAGGAAACTATAAAAGAGGACCCAGTGCTACCTGTCTTCTTATCTCAAACCTGATCTTTAAGAAATAGTTTAAAGATTCGAGCATTTAATCGTGTTAGACTGAATTCAGGTTGATACATGGGTAAACAAATCATTAAACAATTGACGGTTTTAAATTATAGTTTGATATACGTGAGGATGAAGAACAGCTGCTAAAGTTGCAAGATATCATTGATTTACTCGTTGCCGCCGGCTATTTTCGGGCTCGCATCAAATCACTTCCTCATTTCGATAAGGTTTGTGGAATTTGGTTTTTTGACATTACATTTTAAAATCACCTTAAAGCTAGGAATATAACTTTAATTATCCTTTTGACCACACTAATTTTTATTAAATTCCAAAATTTTCAAAACTATTTTATATTTGTGGAAAGACCAAATATTTTATATTTATTACAGTTAGTTAGTTAGTCCTTTTTTGAAAGCTTCTAGTTTTGTAAGAATTCTCGAACCTTAATAATCAGTCAACCTTCCAACGATTTAAAATTTCTATAAATCAACGAAAGAAATAAGTTTTAGAAATCACTTTTCATTGCATGATTAGAGCGTTTCCATTGTGCTTCAAAAACCATTATAGGATTTCTTAGTCTGAATTTTTTGGACTTATTGAAAATAATTGAAGTGAAAGCAAGACAACTAAACTTCCAGAAAAGATTGGAAAAAGATTGAAATTGCAGGTGATCGGTGGAATAGTGTGGTGTATAACGTCATGCAACCATGTAGTTGATATTGATCTGTTTTACTGCGAAAATGCAACCATTGGTCAGAAGATGTTAGTATTACTATTGCTGTATCGAACTGAGGAGCGCATCTAGGCAATTTCACTTCAATAATTACACATTTACAATGATGGAGCAAAAATAACCGTTTATTATGACGGACGAAAATCAATTTTTTAAAGTTAAGAAATATAGAACATTTATTAAGGAAAGGTACATCTTAATAGGATCACCAAATTCTCTTCTAAATTTAATTTTCTTTCAGAGCTTTAACTGAAAAAGTGGTGGAAGTGTTACCTCAGTTAAAATGTCCTTATACCATTGAACCATATCAAATTCAAGGCCTTGATTATATTCATATCTTCCCTGTTGTTCAGGTAGATCTCTTGACTTTTGCATCAGTAGATCAAATCACAATTTTATAAAAAATTAAAAACTCGACAAAATATTGGCAGCGGTGCAAGAAAGAACTGGAATTCGTTATTTTGATAACAAATGAATACTCATTTCACTTTTTGGAAGTTAATTAGACCTAGATTATTCAGTGGCTTGTTAGGGAAGCTGTTCGTTCGAAAGAGCAGTATGGTGATAGTATACGAAGTCATGCTATATATCAGTTCGCTCAACGATTCCGTTTTTCAAAGGTCGTGTTCTATTTTTCTCCCTAAAAATTTCTTTCTGAAATAATTTTCAAGCAGTTTACTTGTTGAAGTTTGCATTTTTCATGTGTAAGCTTTCAGGATAAATATATGGAGAAACAAAGAAATATTTTTTTAAACAACTGTAGTAATGTGAAAGCGAAATGTCCACCCCAACGCATTTATAAACGGAAGGGCGATGTTAAACCACCGGATTTGCGTACCGATATTCGTTGCACTTTATTGGAATATGGCTGGTTCGTTTTATTATTTCGATAAAGACAAATCAGTATGGTGATGGAACAAAAGCCTTTTTAAAGTTATATTTTGACAGTGTTAATATCATGCGTTGATAGTTTTAATGGGTGAAATAATGCAGGAGAGATGTCTGTGATACATCAGTTCAGGAAAGTACTAAATGGTCCAAAGGAGATGAAAATATGGTAAGACTGAAGATGAATCATCAGTTTATTAACATGTTGAGCTACTTAAAAAACTGTTATTATTGAGTTACGCTTGAAGGAAATGTTAGGAATTTTACTTTTATGGAATTAATTCAAATAAGTTAAATAGTTGTTATTGGTGTCCTAGCATAACTGCGATACCTATGAGGATCTACACTATGGTAACAGTCGAATGACTTTTTTTATTTACGTAACAGATAAAAATCTAATAGTATGGAATTCCAGAAAATTGATCAACTTCTCATGCAATTATCACATACTCAAATTCATCCAACGAATCAACGTCTATCATCGAAAACACTGACTCAGATCATTGATGTGTCAGACTTCGATGCTGATGGTTTAAAAGAGGAGGTGATTTATAAAGCTTAATATATCAAACTCTTATTTTTATAGTTATATCTCTTATTTGAATTTCTCCTATCAAATATATTTTTAGATCAGTTTTGTTCAACGATATCAGCGAAGGACGTCTGTAGTAGAAAAAGAATTAATGGAAGTTAGTTTTCTACTGCTTTCTGTTAGCGAGATTAGGCTGATTGTCCGTTTCTTAACAAATGATTATTGTTGTTTTTTTAGCTCAAAGAAGAAGATAGACTTTTGGATGATTCGTTAAAAATTCTCCAAGAGAACAAGGAGGCTCAACTGCGAGAGATGGATGAAATCGACGGGAGAATTGCAGAATTTGAACAACTGGTTAACAATAGTGGTGTGGAGTAGGATACAGATTTTTAAATTTGTTGTGTTTATCAGCTACCACTTTTTCAAATTCCTTTTTCTCTTTACATCACATTTCTGAATTATTTACAGTCGTTGTCAGTTTTTATATAGATTTCTTTTCAGAACTGTAGAGAAGCTGAAACACCTGTTGATTGAACATGATGAGATTTATAAGCGAGAAATGGATTTCAAAGTAAACTGTCGAAATGAACTACGGGAATTGGATGGAGTCCTTCAACAACTGAAAAGAGTAAGGCCTACGGAAGGAGAAATAAATTTTTTTGAAAATTTAGCTAGTAGTTTAAATATCTTTTTATAAACTAAAGTTATTTCCAGAATGTGCTAAAGGATGATAGCGACTCGGTACGAAATGCAAGCCTGGAAGCGAATCAACATCTAATAAATGTTCGGTTAGAGTTAGCAGATTTAAATCGACAGATTGCAGTACAGCAACGCCTGCTCGATAACGTTCCAGCTCAAATTGAAATCAGCCAGTATCAGCGTAGAATTATCGAGCTTTACAATCAAAGTTTGTTGTTTGAGATGAGTCGTAAAAGTTATTTTGGAGAAATGGACTTTCATAACCGCTTTTATCCCTCAGCTGAATGTTTTTATGCTTAACGAATTTTTATGATGTACTATGATTTTTTTTTCCAAATATTTCTTGCGAAAGATTTTCAAAATCATAGTGGCAAGTAAACATCGAGAAACGAAGCAGTTTTATATTTTACATAATACTTTGGTTGATATCAAAACGTTTATGAAAAAAGAAGTTGACATGCTGAACAATATCGACGACATCCAAGACTTGTAATCTTTTTATTTTTTGCTGTTCATTTATAAATTTCTCATTCAGAGATAAGGTATTCATAAGCATCATTGTCAGTATTATTAATGAGCTAATTTATACATTGTAGGGCATCAAAGCAAAGCTACAAAGACTCATTTGTTGAGAATTTGCAGAAAATACTGAAAGGTGTTGATGCTGCTCTTGATAAGGTTTGCTACACTATCTAGAATAGTTTCATGTGCTGAATTTATGCGTTTATACTTATTCAAAATCTTGTAACTATAGATAAAGTTCTGTAAAGGAAATATTTATGATAGGACTTATGTTTGCATTTATGTTTAAAATAGGTTGATTTTAAGCCGTTCTTTTAATTTTTCAAGGTTTTATTAATTTCGTTATTTACCTACAGCTAATATTTCCATAGATATCAACGAAGCAAAATGAACTGCAAGCAAAAAGGGACAAATTATATGAAGAGTATCAGTACTTGTTGGAAAAAGAACGTTTGTATTACAAAACAGTTGATGATTTCAAAAATGTTAGTTCCAAAGTTTCATAACCATTATAGTAAGTTGCATTTAGTCTGAAGGTTGAGGTAAAGAAAAGTATCAAGAAATTGGAACGCTGTTTCTAGTACTCTTTTTGGCTGTAACATTAATGTAAGCTAACTGGTCTGGGATATTAGTGGGGTTATATCTGAAATTTCTCATATTTTCCTGTTCCAGTAATTTAGTAGTTCTTCTTACCTTAGAGTTTTATTCTCCCATTGCTAGAATCTTTTAGTCTTCACAATGAAAATATTTTTGGATTGAATTTTTATGCTGCTGAAAAGAATTATTTAATTTTTGCTTATTTGTCCAGCTTCTCATTTCTTTGTGTTTGCAGGCTTGCCATGAAAATGAGGAACTAAGGCGGAGAATAGAAGGTTAACATCTGATATAAATGCAATTGATATAATTTAGAATGATTTTTTTAAATTTGTATTCTCTTCAATCTAAAACTTAAAATTTAAATTCAACACGGGATCTGTAAAATTAACGACGTTTATAGATTATTCTAATCTTTGCAGTGGTTGTGAAGTTTTGTATATCGTTTTTCTCATCATTAATAAATTGTTCTTATTTTAATGTACGTTTTTTATCGTTTGAAGCTATCGTCATTCATCTTGATACTTTTCTAGAAATGTGAAGTAAGAAATACTTTTTTTCAGTTGTTTCACATTTTGGATCTCTAGGAAATAGTTTTGCTTGAAGTATGTTGAAATTATTAAGATATTTCACATCTCAAATTTGGCTGGCAGGGATAGTAGTTAGCGACTGCTGAGCACCGGTGTAAGATTGGGGAATTAAGAGTCGTTCCGTGATAGGAAGGTAGTGTGAGATATTCAGGTAGAGATATTTGCTCTTATATTTTAGAAATGCATGCTTTATTATGTGAAGGATCGGATTCAGTAAATTCTCGTGGTTTCACAAGTTTCGTCGTCATCTAGGACATTTTTGAGGAGATGACCTCTGCGCAAATTAAACCAACAGTTATCGAGGCAGTTACGGAATTCAGTGATAATTTCAAGGATTTCGGTTCAAGCATGCCCTGTGCAATTGGCATTGATGAAGCTGGACGTGGACCAGTTCTTGGGCCGATGGTCTACACATGCGCTGTTACACTGGTAAATAATGAAAATATGTTGACCAAGATAGGTTTGTTTGTTTCATATGTTTTATTGTTCTATTGTATGAAGTTTTCTACTCTGTGCAAGCTTTAAATTTTGGCCAGTTCTGCATAATACTACACTTACTAGGATATCACGCAGTTTAATAACTTTTCTTTAGAAATTGTTGCAGATTTCCTATCATGCGATTATAAGCTCTTGATGATGACTTCTCATTTTTTTAATTCCACAGTCTGTTCTAAAGTCATCTTTATCATAGGGGTTGACGATTCAAAAGTTCTAACAGAGGCAAAACGTGAAGAAATTTTTGAAAGAATGAAGGGAAGCAATATGTCGGAGGTTATATTTCTCTTTGTTTCATGTTCTTCCTGGAATTCTTTATTTTCACTCACGAATTGTCTTCTTTATAGACGAATGTGATGGATTTTTTTTTAAGTTTAATAAAGTAACAATTTAAAGGAGAGATTTGGTTTGTAAAAATGTTTCCAGTGTTTAGAATGAAATTAGCAGTGGTATTATAAATTAATAAAAAGAAGTATCTACTTTTTAATGGTATCCCAAAATCACACAAAAACATTATATTTATTCAAATAGATGTATTAATAATCAGAGCAAAAGTTTTATTATTTCAGATATTTGGATATGCATGTCGTTCGGTATCGGCGCAAATGATTAGCGCTGCAATGTTAGGTCGAACAAAATATTCACTAAATAAATTGTCACATGATTGTGCGATAGAATTGCTGAAATTAGCAGTCGACAATAATATAAATGTTGTGGATGTTAGTGTGGATTTTATTTTTTTCATGAATAGCAAGTTGTAACTTATACTATCAGGAAATATAATGATAATATTATGGAATATTTTTCGGAGTATATAGGATATTCGAGTGAATAAAAGGAATTGCTTTAGTTCTGAACTAACACTTTTTAGGTTTATGTTGACACAGTTGGACCGAAAGATCCATACCAGGCTATGTTGCACAAGAAATTCCCAGACATGCAAATTATTGTATCGGAAAAAGCGGATGCTAAATTTCCAATTGTCAGTGCTGCTTCAGTTATTGCAAAAGTAATCTTCCTGTCTTATCCCAGCAATTGAAGTTTTAGTTTGGTTCAAGACTATTTTAGTGATTTTTGGTTGATTAAAATTTTTGCGTATTTTTTCTTATTTTTAGTTTAAAACTTCTTAAATATTCTTATAGTGATTCGCTCCATCCTGTTATTCCTATTTAAATATATTTTAAACATTCGACATATCATTTTGATTTGTAGCAGTTTTTCATAGTCGTTAATTTATTTTTTCTAACGGCAGATTCTTTTACTTGAATTGCTTCTGTGGACAGCTCATTTTTGATTATTCTAATTTATTTTAGGTTAAGCGTGACAGAGCTTTACGAAACTGGACGTTTCCGGAGGGTATTGTCAACGTGCCGCCAGGAGGATATGGAAGTGGTTATCCTGGAGGTGTAGTTTTTGTAGCGCATGTGGCTTATTTTCTTAGCACTCATGAACGACTTTGATTTAGATCCAAATACAAAGAATTTTTTGTTGAATGCAGTTGATCAAGTGTTTGGATACCCAAATTTGGTGCGATTCAGTTGGAAGACAGCCGAAGTTTTGTTACAAAGAAAGGCAGTGATGTGTAAATGGTATTCATTTGCATTTCTGCGTATTTTCATCCACTTTTCAATGTATTAAGTATAACGATTCGATAATGAAGACACAATTTGAGAGAAATTTCAACATAGTGAAAATTTTGATACAGTTATATTATGGTGTTATGGCAATCGAAAAGCTTTTTCCTTTAAAAGTTAGCAAGAGTAAACATTTCATGTGATGTTTGGAAGTAAATAAGTTTTTGAAAACTAATGCATTTATTTTTGATTTCAGGAGAAATGCAGAAAATGCACCCGGCAGCACTATAACATCGTTCTTTAAACCATATTCTAGTGGAAAGAAATATTCAATGAAAAGTCGATTTTTCGCCGATCGTTATCTTTCAAATATATCAAAATGTTCAGATTTTTAGTGTGGATACAAAATTTATAACATGCTAGGTTTTTCTCAGCAAGACTTCCCTCACATTAATTTTTATTTTAAGGATTATCATGGGCTATTGCTTTATGCCTTTTTTTTTTTCAATTCAAAAATTTCGTCTAGAGTTCAACATGTGTGTCGTTGTTTGCGTTTTTATCTATAGGCTCATTTATGTGTTCATCCTGTTTTGCGCTTGTTTACCGTTTGTTTAAACTGTATCACTAATGTTATAGGTATTTTTACTGTCACTGACATTAAACATTGGCATTTATATATGTCTTAGTTGCTGCTCGGCAATTCTCATTATGCTGAGTTATTATTTCAGCATCTAATAATTGCTGGGTTTTGAGACAAGTATTTGAAAATAATCTTCCATAGCAAAATTTGGTTACAAGAACGGGGATTCTCTATAAAATACCCATATTGGTTTCCATATACACTAATGTTATGGACTACCATAATTTTGATGCTTAAAATTTTCTTTTCTGTCATATTCTTTATGATTGTATATTATTGACGATAAACGAAAAGAATTCTTATTTCAGCTATTTAATTAAGTGTTATCATGTTACAAGAAAAAGATGAGTATTCTTTATCAATCTTTTCATCAAGTTTGTACTGTTTGCTCAAAATAGGATGTTATCAATTACTCTGCACAAATGTGGAGCCTTTGACAGTAATTAGGAAAACATTACTATTATTCAGCAAAGAGACAAGCAGTTTCAACTTTTTATATTTAACATGCCTTCTGAGTCGTGTATGTCGTGAACTTGTTGATCGGAATATCAAAGGTACAAGACTCAAATGAATTTAAGTGGTAGATTGCGGAGGAGGGCTTTGCTCAGATACTGCCTCATAAACCCGTAGAAATGTTCCATTCTCTACCATCGCTTGATTTTCGGCATCATGTGTGCTTCATCCTCAAATGGCGTCTCCTTGGCAGCCAGTCAGTCTTGTGCATTTTACTTTGTTTCATTTTCTAAATTGAAATTCGTATGGAAACTCATTGGATATCTTCGAGATGTTATTTTTTTTTCAATTGTCTACTGCTTTTTCGTTCTCTGACTTTGCAATCTTTAGAAATTTACTTCTTTTGCCCTCTTCTCTGAACAATTATTGTGATGTGAGGATCAGAGTTTCCCATTCTTAATTCCATCGATGAAAAGAAATGGAAGTAATTTTCTCCACTAGGATTCTTCACCAATAATTTAAAAATATGTTTTGTGCAAAATAGCACCAACCATTCAATAATTTTAAATTCTGGAAATTTCAGACTTGTACTGTTATCTAAGAAAGAAACTTGAAATATGTTCAAGTTATCTTTGACAAGCGTGGCCACAATAATCTTTGTTATGTATATTGCCCATTCGATGCACTCAATATATACATTATTTCATCCACCATTATGCAAGCAAAATCAAGATGACAAGGAATGCTTAATTGTTAGTTTCGTTGTCTTTCTTTCCTCTTTGCCGTTATTTGATGAATGGCATTTTCGAAGGACTGAACAAGAAGGAAAGATTGCTTTTCAAATAGATTGGAAAGGAAATGAAAAAGATAGAGGAAAAAGGAAATTATTTCTAGGCTTACGTAATTTATTCCAGCCTATGATCCAAAGGGATGCAGTGAGTGCTGAGTGGCCGCCGCTACAGTTTCGTATTTATGCATCCGTGAATTCTCGTGCCAAAGAAAATTATGGAAAAATCATTCATCAAATAGCATTTCTAGATATTGATGAAGTCATGGAAAGGGAAGTAAGTTTTGAGCTTCTTAAAGATCTAAATTATTGCACGTTTTAAATTTTAGTAATTACGTGAAACAGCAGCTGTTATGTAGGACTTGCTCAATTTTGCTTTTTCTTTAGTGATTCTGCTTTTTCTGCTATTACTGACAGTTTATTAAAATATTTTCCATCTTCCGATGCAGTATATTCATTTCAGTTCTTTCAATAATAGTTTTCATGTTAGGTACATGTGGATCTTCCAGAACACACACGTAACAATGGTTCATTATATTTGCACTGCTTTTTGCTACCAGCCGAACATAAGCATCAGGATCCCTACCAAGTATATAGCATATTGTTACAAATGTGTTTACTTGTCTTGAATTGAATTATGATTATTAGTATTAGTTTTACTTTAATAGTGCAGCTTAACGAATACAAAATGATTGTTTTGTATATGTAAGACTTAACGTTCCTTTTCTCAGTTCAGTTCAGTGCTTATTAATCGATGATTTTGAATTACAAATAATATGTTTGCCTCTATTTTAGTGTAAGTGTATGTATGTTAAGTGACTAAATTTAGTTTTCTAGATAGAGAATTTACATGTTAGATACAAAAGATGTCTGCATGTTGAGACTCTACTATTTTACAGTCATCTTGGCAAATAATACAAACAGTTCGTGTAACAACATATCAAATTCCCCAAGCAGAAACATTTCGATTGATTGCAGAAGCTGATGAAAAACGAAAGAGAAATAAAGAAGCTAGTAGATCTATAGATCAGGTGTCAACTTTTTTTCTTTGGATTCTATCAGTGGTTTCCTATGAGGGTGAAACCAAATGAATTTACGAAAATGCTTCAGGAATTTTCTGTTCAACGAAAAACTTTATTGGAATTTTAAGCGATTTAATTTTATTTGTTCGCTATATTCTACAAAAATTAAAGAATGAAAGTTTTATTGTGTTCAGTTACGTGAAGAAGGAACACCAGTCACACATTTTCGTAGCAAACTACCACTAACGATTGTGGCTGAATCGCTTAAATTTGATTTACATGCCCTTCCTGGTGAAATCTATCACCATATGCAGTTTTTCCACAAGGGTATTTCTTAATTAAAATCTTCAGTTATCAAAAATTTTTTCATGTACTGATTTAGTATCGATGTAATTTGTGTTTCAAATAACGGAAATTTTATTCATAATGATATATTGTTTAGTTGGACACATAGCGCTACAGATATCACTGCGCTACAAATTGTTTCTATATAAATAATAATGGCAAGTTATTCGCCTTGTTATTTTTAATAATCGACACAGAAAATCGGATAAAGTTTCCTCTACACAAATCTATTATGTTTGAAATTTTTGAAATCAGTTATGTTTCAGAAGGTCAAACATATTATTGGCCAATATTTTATATCGATGAATTGAGTTTCCTTACCAAGGATCTCATACAGGTGGACTTCGTCTTATTTCACCTTAGCCAATTTTCTTTTCTGTATAAACGTTTTATTCAGAGTAACGAGAAAGATCTTTTTTTTTCGTTTTTTCTTTGAAGAGCTGTCATAAATTAGTCTAATAATTTATTTGTCAGATAGAACCGGAACAAAAAAGCGTCGTGATGAGGATCCAGTATCGGCCGATATCCATTGGTAAATTACGCTTGCTGATTACTGCTCAAGCGTCTCTTGCTCAACTGAAGCGAATGGGTTTTAGTGACAAAGATGTTGACGAGGTCAGCTGTCGCTATATTCTTTTATCGTAAATTTTTTTAGTGAATTTTACGAGCCCATCATGAGTTTTATAGCCTTCACTTGCTTTCAGTTATTTTGGATTCTTTATAGGTGAAGGGAATATTTGTTGACACGAATTTTTACTTTTTGGCTGTGACAATGTTTGTCGCTGCTTTGCATATGTTATTTGATGTGCTCGCATTCAAAAATGATATAACATTTTGGCGAAATCGTAGAAGTATGGTCGGTCTGTCGACGAGGTTAAGAGTTTTTTTTTTTTTAAAGATTTGACTCGACATTATATTATAGTAATGACTTTTTAACTACAAAGAACTTTTAGAATGCTATCCAAAGGAGCAACTTTAATGAAAATCTGCGGTTCTATTTTATTCATTTTCAGAACTGTTTTATGGCGTTCATTCAGTCAATCAATAATATTTATATATCTTCTTGATGAAGATACGAGCCTTCTGGTAACAATTCCTACTGCTATTGGATGTATTATTGAATACTGGAAAGTAACCAAATCTGCCAAAGTAATTAATTTTCTGTTTTCGCTTCCCAGTTGGCTGTTTTTGCTATAACTGCTAGAAATTTTGGAGGTTAAAAAAAAAGTTTGATAGATATTGAACTTTATTAAAATATTACCATTGAAATGATAAGTATCCCAAGTTGATAAGATTATGCTTTAAATTAATGAGTCTGATGAGTTAGCATATGTGATATCTTGCTTGGTTTTTTTTTTGATGAAATCACTATATGTATTTAACAAACTAATGGGAGCAAACCGTAGTGTTTGTAATCTTTCCTCTTGATTTGAATTAAAATGCTTTATTATTACAAAAACAAATACATTGTGTTAGATTTGATATATTTATTATAGATTTCAATTTATTGGTCAAAAGGCATACCACATTTCCAATTTGGGACTTCCACTGCAGCAGAAATAGAAACAGAATCATTTGACTCAGAAGCAATGAAATATCTCACTTTTCTACTTACACCGCTGTGTATAGGCGGCGCCATTTATAGGTATCACTTATGATCTGTCCTGCATCTGATCTTTCAAGTTCACTTGTTTGATTTAAGAACTCATAAACATCCAGATGATAACGTAATTAAGAACTTCAATACCAGATGTCTATTCAAATATGGAATTTAGTTTATTCCAGCCTGGCATACATCCCACATAAGTCATGGTATAGTTGGTTGGTTCAGTGCATGGCTAACGGTGTATATGCATTCGGATTTTTATTTATGCTACCGCAATTGTTTGTTAATTATCGTATGAAATCAGTTGCTCATCTTCCATGGAGAACGTTTATGTATAAGGTATGTATAAATTGTTTACGTATTTTTTCTTTTTTTTTTTTTGAATGATGGTGATAGAAAGCCTAGGTTAATAATAGCTCTAAGAATTAAATATTCAGAACCAAATTTTTGGTGGGAGCTTTGAAGGCATTTATGACAAAGTGGGTAGATAGTGGTAAAGTAACAAAAATTAGTCTATGAACATATGAACATAAGTTTAAAAG